TATCAAAACTTAAGTATTGGTAAAATGCATGGAATTCAAGTTCACTTGTAATCTACTATCCTATTGTTTAGTTGCAACAATCAACAATCCAAATCTACCATGAAATTAAATTTATCTACAGTCTCAAATAATGTAATATTCAATTATTTTGTCTTCCTATTCCATATCCTCGTTGATTTTAATGTCTTGCCAACTTTTTTTTATTGACTCTTTCTGAACTGTTCGGAGTATAAAAAATCAAGTCAGTTTATATTTATCCAAGGTTGCCCCCAAATGCCCTGGTACGGCCGAGAGTGGGGAGAGTCCGCTCTCCCTCTCGAAATGCTGTCACATGGCCACGCGTATATAACCTCTTCCAGGGAAGTCCTACTCATTGCCTTCTTGTAGCGGGCATGTTGTTTACGAAATTGAGAGGACGAAAAGCGAATGTCCGGTGCTTTAACCAGGTTGGTGGATACTGAGAGTCGACCTAGGGGAGTTGGAAAACCCTGATTCCAAACCAATGGTGCACATGACCTCCAGTATCGTAAAGGAACAAATGGCGTATGAACCAATTGTTGGTCACCGGCTTCCATGGGACTGCATCTCCTTACGATGCTCCAGTGCCTTGTGCATCAGACCTTCATGTCGAAGGCTCTGGGTGTGGCTCCCTAAGAAAACCACCTGCTTCGGTTTGGGCACCCGGGCAGTATCACAGCCCTCACATATATCAGATGAGATTTGTGTGGTCCATATGTATTTGGTGCCCTCTTGTGTCAGTATTTTTTGTGTTCAAATAAATAAATATCCTAGGTTACAAGTAGTTGTAGCCATTTTTCTGTCTGAAGTAAAATAAACATATGTCCTGTTATTTTACACTACTTTAAATAAATATCTCAAAGTTTTCGCCTTTTGTATTGCTTTTTAATTAATATCAATAACTTTTGATAGTCTCCCATCAATAAATGACCATAATTAATTTAATTAGCATGTAAAAATACCTTTTATTGTTTACTTTTCAAACCTACAATGTTGTCAATCTTTCATTAAATTTCCCTATCCTTTAAATTAACCTAAATATTTTTCACTTTTTTTGCACTGCCCACATGTCTACTCTTAATTTCAAGATAATAATACCTTATTTTCTGAATTGGAATCCTTATAACAGTTTTCATGATAAGCTGAATTTACAAGGATGGTTTATAAGTTAATGTAATTGACTCACTAAATACCAGGTCCAAACTCTTCATCTACTTCAGTTTATTAGTATCACTAGTCTTCATGTAAATTGAGTACATAAATCTTTTCTTGGTAAATTAATTACATTACCTAGTCAAACTAATGATTAATCAATTAATGCAAGTCAAACAATTGATACGTTTAAGAAGTAATGTATGTTTATGTCAGTGTATATGTGATGAGTGAAACTTGTTGATTGAAGTTAACATTAGTGTTTAATATGTAACTGAACTTGATGCTATATACTAAGATTGTTTGCGCTGAGTTGCATTATTCATTGTGTTTTTAGTAATTACGAACTCTCTGAGTTGGACAACAGTTTAATTATCTAGCTCCGTGAATGCAACGCCATGGAAAACATCACCCTGAGATGCAGATTTTTATCATTTCAAAATCATTCACTGTCGGATGGTCGATGTCATTTAATGTATAGATATATATTTGATAGGTTTACGAATGAAATTATTCATTGTATTCACTTGGTCTTATATAAGTTTGTTTTGTCGGGGAGTCCAACGTTTATTAGCATATTTTTTTATTTTAGATCCTGATGTTCGGCGTTGTGTATTCCTATCCTTTGATCAACGTTTCGATCTTCATTTAGCTCAATCAGATCACTTAAATTATCTTTTCTTGGCTTTGTACGATGAAGTTTTTGATATTCGCTGTTTAGTAATGCAACGTCTAGGTCGTTTATCGGATATTAATCCTGCATGCGTTCAACCTAATCTACGAAAAGTTTTGTTACATGTAAGTTACGTTTACCACATTATTCTTTCGTATTAAGTTGTTCACTGTAGGTAGACTTGAGTGCGATAGTTCATTTGTTTAAACTATGTGGGGTAGTCTTCCTCATTGACTACTTCATTCTTTGTTGGCTGAGCATCAGTGTATACGCGGGAGTTGAGAAACTCACTTTGAAAATTCTTGAAATCCCATGCAAAGTAGCAGAGTACTTCAGCGTCAGTGTCTCATAAACAGGAGTATGTTGTCTACTTATTGTAACTCTTAAAGATAGTTTAAATAGGGAACTGTTTTTTGAAGAGACAGATGACAAACGTTTTCCCTATACCAGAATATCCATGATAATATTCAATTTGAACGGTAAAGTGAATAATTATCATCCCACTACTAGTGTTTTGAGTAGATAATCACTAATTCGACGTGCATCTTTCGTACAGCAGGATTAAAAGGGAGGCTAAATAATATTTTCAATTCAATGAATACCACTTCATCAATTCATATATCTATTTCAAGTAGTAATAATAAATTAAAATTTTGGTTAATGATATATTCATGGCCAGATCTACAGTCTACTGGGTATTTTTTTCGGATTCGTTAGTTTCAAGTTTCAGTAAACTATTAGATATTCATGTAAGTTCAAATCTATGCAGCCACATTAATTAAATTAATTCATGTCAAACCAGAGTGAAACAAAAGATTCAATATTTTCTTATCTTCATTTTCTCTAAACTGTTATCACAATCTGTAATATAATATTCGTAAACTTGAAAAGAAAACGAAATCTCAATTAAACAAATTTTAGTGCAAAACAATATTCAATCTCGAATATACACATTTTTTTGTATTCCAATGGTATATTTAACTAATTTACCCAACCTTTATGAATCCTTACTTCATTTATTTTTTTAGACTTTGAATGATCTATCTCATAGTGGTTCAACTAGAAACAAAGAACAATCAGCTTTATTATTAGCGTGTTTAATTGCTACAGCACCTAGATTTCTTATTCCTTACTCTGAACCATTAATTCATATTTTATTGCCACGTATTCGACAAGCTTTACCAGCATCATTACGTGCTAGTTTAACAGTGACTAGTTTTTCTAGACTTCAAAATTCCACTTTTACAAATAATAAAGGTAAGATTGTTATAAATAATAGTAGTAGTATAAAATTTATTATTTTAAATAAATATTATTTTCATAATTGTTTTTTAAAAAAATAACACTGGAAAATTTGTAGCTGAATTTATGAATACCGTGAAATTCAGTCTCTCAAATTATCACTACCAGGTTTTAAGACATAGTCATGAATGGTTAATATTTGATGACAGTATATTCGGTTTAATTTAATTAAGTTCAATGAAGATAAAATAATTTTAAAACTTAGTTATTTTTGCACTAATTAAATCCGAAAGATATTCTCACCTTATATATATATATACATCAAGACAAACTTTATCCAGGAGAACAGTGGTCAGACTGATTTGATCCGTGGTAGCGAAGAGAAATCACTACAAATTATTATTATCTTTATCCATCCTGTATTCTCAAAACTCAACAATGAATGTAATGTGACTTTGCAGATCACCATTGTCTCCACTCTCCCTCTCGAAATGCTCTCACACGGCCACGCGTATATAGCTTCTGCCAGGGAAGTCCTACTCACTGCCTTCTCGTGGCAGGGGTGTTGTTTACGAAAATGAGAGGACGAAAAGCGAATGTCCGGTGCCTTGACCTGATTCCAAACCAATGGTGCACATGGGCTCCAGTATCCTGCGGGAACAAATGGCGTATGAACCAATTGTTGGTCACCGGCTTCCATGGGACTGCATCTCCTTACGATGCTCCAGTGCCTTGTGCATCAGACCTTCATGTCGAAGGCTCTGGGTGTGGCTCCCTAAGAAAACCACCTGCTTCGGTTTGGGCACCCGGGCAGTATCACAGCCCTCACATATATCAGATGAGATTTGTGTGGTCCATATGTATTTGGTGCCTCTTTGTACCATTATCTATGTGTTGAAATAAATAAATATATATATATATATGTATACATTATTCTCCACAAGAACAGTTGGATGAATAGATACAGAATGAGATAACTAGTCTAGGTAATTTATCTTTCAATCTCAGAAGGACCATCAGATATATGGAAACATTCATTTTAGTTTATCTGCATTAGTGGTTCTGTGGTTTGGTCTATACAACTTTAATAATAGCATTGCTCTGGGTGCATCAACTCTAAATCATAGGCATATATACAGAAAATTTTCGCTTACAGTTAGGCCTTGCTTATGCTCTTATTTCATAGTTGAATGTTTGTTTATAAATTATTCACTATAAATTACTTGATTTCTGACTTGTAATTACCCTATTATCTCTTTAATTCCATGTTAACCATATATATTCTGATCATTAATCTCACAATTTCATTTAACGTATCAACTTATTCAGGTCAACACTTCATATTAGTCATCACAACATTAATGACTTCATTTTAGATTACAAACAATCCTAAATTCACATTCTATAATTTCGAACAATGTATTTTACCTTAAATCTGACCACTCTTCGGATTCTAAATTGGGATATATAATTGTAGAACGTGAAGAGAATTTATTGAAAAGAATATTCTTCGTTCATTTATTGGTGTTTTAGTGTGATGAGAATTTTTTGATGATTAGAAAATTGCGAAATGACCGTGGTGTTAATGCTATTAATATATACACATACACACATTTCGTATCGTAGTTCTGTTTTTCTAGTTCTAACTTTCATATCACTTTTCTTTCTCCACACTATTTCCATAGAAATCGATTGTTCTTCATCTATTTTACCTACTGAACGTTTACCTGCAAGTATTCAATTAATTCAAAATGTAATTTTAACTACACAAATTGCTGCAAATGCTGCTGCAGCTTCTGCAAATGCGATTGCTTCCGCCGTTGCAGCCTCCACTGGTCTAGCTGGTGGTCTACATTGCCCTCTTACCTCCAATGCATCACAACGTTTAACACGACGTGCTCCTACTGGTCACATTGGGGCAAATCAAATTGGCCCAGCTCTAGCTGCTGCGAATGCAGTTGCTATGGCTACGGGAGCGGCGACAGCGGCTGCAGCCGCTGCTGGTGCAGTAATGGCTGCAACTGGTCAAAGTACTACTAGTGGTGGCGGTGTCGGAATATTCAATGCAGACGCAAAGAATCTATTTGGAACTGGTTTGGTTCCAAATTATGGCTCTAAATCCGATGTACCTATGGTTAGTCCTATTTTTCCTGATTTTTTCAACCGGTCAATGTTACTTTTAATCTTTAAAGTATATTTTCGATGTACAGTTTATTATTTTATTCATTTGTTTTTTCTAAAAATTTAGCATGATCTAGCGGCAATTGTTGAACGCTTCGGTACTTTGAATTTCGATCACAATAGCTATAATTATTTCAATTTTGAATTTCCTCCTGGAGCATGTCCGCCATCTGCATATCTTCTAAATTCAACACCTCTGATTGATTCATATATGCTTGGAGATCAGTATTCTAGTAGAAATCAATCATGGTCGGAATACAGCATGTCTAGAATGAATGAAAATGCATCAACAGCTCATTGGACTGAACCAACACCTGTGATTGTTGCTCTATTTACAACATTAGGGCGACTAGCTGCGGTAGCGCCACGTTCTATTTATCATTATATGGATGAATTTATACCGATTCTAGCCTATATGATGCAAGATACATCATGTTTTTTAAAGCGATCAGTAAGTTGTTGCGTTTCATTTATTCATTTTACACAATTTTGTTTTATTTATAAATTACATTCATAGTTATCAGATAATCAATCACAAATATTTTCTGTCTAGCAGGACCTTTTTATTTCTTTTCTATTCATTATCTTTATATGCTTTACACAAACCATGTTTTGTCCTAGTGTAGGACATGGCAGTGGGCAGAAGGAACGTTTGTTGTCAGAAATTACGAAGCGTGGAATAAGTATTCATAAACTTCGGTCGTCTTTTTGCATCTTGCGCTGTGGTCTGCTCACGCTATGCTTTTGATGTTCTGAAGCTTTTCTTTCCATTTGACGACTGTGACATCTTCGACACCACATTCCGCTACCTAATACTTACAAGCAATATTGTGGGCAGCATCTTCTACTTAACATCCACCAATACCTCCAGAAGACCTTAAGCATATATATATACCCTTCGTTCCACTATTCGTTGTTAAACATGATGTTCTGTTTCTCTTACTACGGTAATACTCGTTCTTATTTATTGCCGCATATTATTTAAATCTTTTTGTTTCACATTGATCAAGGCCTTAGACTGTTATGGATTCAGTTATTCTTCTGTGGATATATTAATTATTGTTAAATGAAGTTCAATTATTTCTCTAATCTGATGAATTCCTGTTCATTTAATTTTATTAGGGACATTTTCTTTTCTAGTGTTTTTTTATCGTCAAATACTTGTGGTTCATTTTTCGTTTTGTACGCATCTCTATTCAGTTGTAGGAATAATGATATTTTAAAAGCAGTTTACGTCATAATAAGTTGTATCTTTTGAATGGAATATTTCTTACTTCGCATTTTGATTTGTATGTTTTTTCTTTCATTCCCTATTGTAGATTGCTGTTTGGACTCTAACTAGACTAGTTTCTCACACTGGTTATGTTGTTATTCCGTATAAACGTTATCCTCAATTGTTGAATATTCTGTTAGGTATGCTTAAACGTGAAGAAATCAAATGTATCCGTCAAGAGGTAGATTTAACATTGATGCTTTAATTTTTGTATCTATTGGATATTTATTTACTAGTTCTGTAAGCTTGAAAAAATCCCACTTTTTTTTACTTCAATAGAATCCATTCAGTTGTGTTAATTCGTATGTTGATTGTTAAACTAGTTACTGAATATTCATATTTCCTCTAAATTCTGCCTCACAGTGTTAAAACAACTTGCCACAACTTTGAAATCATAATATACTATGTGCTTGCACCAATAAAGGTAACATTATTCACTGAATAACTGCTTATAAATATTAAATGTTACAAATTTAGCATTTGATTTTTTCATCTGCTTATAATAAGAATCTTACCTAATGAGCATGACTAGTCATTTTCAGTTTTCTTTGATTGACAACTAGAACGCTCATATATAATCTGGTTTGATATAATCGTCATAAAATTCAGAATGCAAGTTTTATGTTCAATGTTAAAAACTGTATTCTTATGGTTCGATTCTCAAAATGAGTTCAATATTCAATAAATTTATACATATGTAGTCATGTTGGTTTCATACTTGGAACTTCAGTTGGTCTATCAAACTTTTTGATTGCCTCATTTAATTATCTTTAGGATGTCTTGTATTCTCCCATCATAAAATTCTTTTCTATTTCTGTCTGTTCCACTTCATCATATTTATGCTAAAGCCTATTTCTCTCTGCTTTCTTTCCAATTGTGAAATCACACCCAACATGTATCGATCAACTAAAAAAATACAAAGCTCTCGTTTTAGGATTCCAATATCCTAAACTGCAAATCACTAATGAGTTACATTGAAACATTTTTTCACTGATAGTTTAGTGAGGTGCTTATTTTAAGGTATAAACGATTACATATCTTTTGTGTTACGATTTAGTAGTCCATTTTCAATCGTTGTTAGCTTTCTATGAGTTTGGATAATTTTATTCTTTTTGAATTCTATTTTTCTTAGAACTTTATACTTTATTGAAATATTTGAATTCCTGCTATTAGGTATTGAGAGCTCTTGGCGTTCTTGGTGCACTAGATCCCTTCAAGTTCAAATTGTATTCCGGTCAAGTCGATACATACGGCGATACAGGAATTGCTGTGAGTCATCATGAAGTAGTTGAACGCAAAGATGGTAAGTGGCTTGATAATTACTTAGTGTTAATTTTTGTCTTCTAGTAGTTAATATCTAGGATAATCAAAGTCAGATGTTTTAGGAAAACACAATACAAATTAGTCGATATAATTCGATCAGAAAAATGGACTGAACAAACATGATATTGTTACTGTTGATGGGTTTATAGAGATTTTAGAGTTCTCATAGTTCTAAATCACGAACTTTTGATCTCGCGCGTGGAAAGCCTAACCTCTAGACCGCTGAGCCTTCATTCAAGGGTGTAGATGTCTAACTTCAACCATTTCGCGATCATCTGTTGGCTATGTTGAATAACTATCTCAGATCCGACATGGTTACGCTCTAATATGTACACTTCTGAGGAGTCTGTACTGTTACGTTACAGCTGTTCAATGCTTTTTGTTGTTCATGTGAAAATCATTTAGTGATTTAATACTACGAAAGCATGATATTGATTAATACTCAGAAAGGAAATAGATACCTGAATCGTACATAAAGACAGTCACTGTCTAAACAGATCAATGGTAATTTCTTTGAGGATAATAGGTTTGTATTTTAACAATCGAAGTACATTTAGTTCCAAAGCTTTGTTGGGCGTCAATGAAAAATCCGGAGTAATAAATAAAAAAATATTTACCCATTCCTGTGTTCTATAACTTTTTTGGCTAAGCTATTTCTTATAAATCATCTTTTCGACTTTAGATAAGTATACATTCATTTTTATCTAACTCATTCCTTTTATAAATTGGAATAAAACTAAATCAACACTGAAAACGAAATATTTTAACTTCGCTGTATTTTACGTGTTATTATCGTTTGCTTACAACCTGTAACAATGTAACTAAACGTGTAGATAGGATAAGCAATGTACAACAACCAATACTTGTGACTATAAATAGGTAAAATGATCACGGTTATCTATTAACTTTCCTACCTAGAAAGTCGTTAGAAATGTGACGTAGAATGCACAAGAGAATTTTCTAGAACCATAACAACTCAATAATTGCAAAAAAAGGTTTACACAGGAAGGTAAATGAACAAAAATCCCTCGATAAATTTAAGGTTATTTGTTTAAATGAATGAGATAACAGATAACTTAATAGAAATAAAAAGGTTTTCTTGTTAATTAAATTAATGTAGTAAACGGAGGTTGTGATTCCACCGAAGATAATATATATGTACATCATTCTTATTCGTTTGTTATTCTCGCTTACATTCTTATAAGATTACATATGTCTTTCAGTTTTTGCAGTACTCACTTCTAGATAAAAATTTGATACTTACCACTAAGTAATTTATAACATCTCTGCTATTGTAAATTAAGTAAGCTTACTAGATTTCTGACCTCTTGTAAACATGTTAACGTAAGAAATTTACTTGTTAATATATTGGCGCAAAACATTAATTATTTAATATAATCAATGATTGTATTCCTTTGATTTTTTACTCGCTTTTCAACCAGTTGATATAACCCAATCAGAACTCGTTATCAATTTGTCTTGGGAAAGTCGTGATGTTTTCTTCTCAGTTTGTGCTCTATCTGCACTGATTCATTCGCTACGTGATCCTGCACTTCACAGCCAGTATGGTAGCATTGTACATACGATAGTTTATGTTTTAAAACTTTTGGGTCCACGTTCAGTAATTTATCTACGTCAGCTTATACCTGATTATTTTCGGTGTTTAGAAAACACACGTGATGCTAGAGTAAGCTGGGTGTACTTGTATGCATTCTTTCGTAAGAAACGTGTCTTTTGGTTTAATAAAAATAATTACAAATTAAAAATTTTCTGAAACGGTTAATTGTTGTCTGTATTTGATCTTCCTCATATTTTATATTGTGTAAGCCATGATTATTGTGTTTCGAAACTGACAGTACTGCCCAGCTATTCAAAATATATGTAGCTAAGTTAAATTTAAACCTAAATTGTGTCAATCAATTATGTAGGCTTCTGAAGAAACACAGTCGTATATTTCTATCTTTGGTATACGAGTTACGATTTTTTATTTGGAAACTTTTCGCGATGATTGATGCAGTTTATTAAATTTCATTCGTGTAGGAGGTAATACACTTACCACTGATGACAATGGATGGTTGTGCAACATCTGAAAAGTCGACTGAAGTTTGATTTATGAACTACTCAATAGTCTAAGGACAACAATTTCTCTGCGACATCCAAAGATCTTGATATTGATCGCGCACGTCTGAATCCTACACTAGAACGAAAAAAGTGTTCAATGCTCTGTTGTCTCATATTCTAAGGTTCATTTATTGACGTACGAAATTATTATTCACTCTACTAAAAGATATTTCTCACGATTTCCATCACTAGTACTACTATAGTGAATGAGAACTCATGTGCGGAAGAACAGTTTATTGTTTAATGCAAAGTCACACAGTGGTTTAGTAAAATTTGAAAATGATACATCATTTGCATATCTTTCAGTTGTCCTTTACGTCCTTCATGACTCTTCCAATTCTGTTTTGTTCCAATTCTTTTATTTTCCTTTCTATCTCTTCATTTCAATCTTTCACTTCGGACTGGCGTTACATACAACTTATGTCGATAGACATAAGTAGCATACACCACACTCGTCCCTTCTTTAAACTGTCGCTCTCGCAGTCGTTTTGCTCACCATGCCATTTTATTCTTTGTCGCACTCGGTGACACGATCTCCGTCAAAACGTCGGGTCCACCGGCGCACCAACTTCCGTAGCGATGTTGACCTCCCGGGCCACCTAGTCCGATGTCTGCCCAGCAACTCGAGACGTCCAACGCCTGCTCTCCAGCGACATCATATTACTACCAATTCGATAATATGAAAAATAATCTTTTCTTGTGTATATTTATTATTACTTTGTAGAATCAATCTGTACATTGGTGGTGTCAGGCTAGTCGTTTATCTGAATTATCAAGATTAAAATGAAATAAATTAGAATTTGCAACTCAGTAATTAAGCAAAGATGGATAGTGGTTAGCAGCTACTGAGTAGCTGAGTGTATAACGCGATGACGTTTGAAGCGAATGATACTGGGTTCGAGTCCCGGAGTGAACATCAACTCTGACATGCAGGTACATCCAGCTGACGAGTCCCAAATGGGACGAAACGCGCATCCTGGATTCCACTGCTAACCACTATCCATCTTTGCTTATAAAAGCCTGTGAATTAAGGCGATATCGAGGCCTACGCACAGTTTGCACATATGCCAATAACAGACTGATCAATTGCAGTCTTAAACCTCAATGGGAAGATAAAAGCAAAACAATACCAAGTGAATCAATAATTAAAGTTTATGTCCTCAAAATCATTCCAGTAATGCTTCTGTATAGATTTTGTTTGGCGAAATCGGAATATGTTTACTAATGAATAGTATAAACATTTCCGTTTAGTTAATTTGTTGATCTCAGATAGTTTAATCATTTTAAATCATGAAATTTTTGAGTAATTTTCTATGTTGTTCTGCAACCTCACATTCGTATTTTATGTATTTATTTATTCAAGTTACAAGAGTTTCTTATTCGTCAATTGGGTAATGTAATGACCATCGTGCAATTGAATACAAAGGAATTTGCACATGAAGTAGTTGACTTATTAATCACACATTGGTGGATTGCTCCAAACGTTCAGCGTGCATGTATTGGTTTATTAAGTCCAATGTCATCTGTATTAGGCGCTGAATTTCGTACATATTTAACACGTCTTATACCAACCATATTGAGAATGTTTCATCATGAATCAAATGAATCAAATTTAATAGCTGTAAGTGTTGACTATTCTGTATATATTTTATATTCATTGAATATCAGTAAATAATTAATAATATGACTTACCAATATTCAATTCGTATACGTTGATTATTTGTTTTCGTGTGTCAGCTAAAACCTTTAAGTTGTATAGATTTGTGCATTAGTCTTTTAGTTATTACGTTTGATATCGTTATTTGATATTTTTAGACTTAATCAACTAAACATCTTGAACACAAATTCTTATATAGTTGATTCCCAAATCAACTAAACATCTCTCAATGCGCAAATTGAGTTTTAGGAGTTCCCACATGGGTACTGGTAAATGTTAAGATTAGGCATTTAGGGTTAATATTATGAGTTTAAGGTTCAGAATTCAGAAATTAGGCTACAGATTAAGAATCACTGTTAGAGTTAGGATTTAGGGGCAGGATTGGTTTGTGAGTTATATACAATTTAGATAGGCATAAGTGAACATTGAACACGTTTAATACTGTCATTTTTCATTCTGAACGTTCTGAGTGCTATCCAAAGGTAACTCTGTTGGTCATTTCACGAAATTATTGAATTTTATACAAAAATGTTTAAAGTCCGTATTCTTGGTTCCGTATTGTGTTAAATTAAACAATTATTACCATTACTGTTACTGTGCAAACTTTTCACTACTGAGATAACAGATATTATAACGCTATATGAGATACATTTTCTGTGATTTTGTCAGTTATTTTGTAATTAGAAATAATTTGTAATTTGTAATTTATTATTGAAATTGTGAACATGAAAGATAAGGAAATAAGTAAATAGCTTTTTTATTTGACTGTCATTGTTATATATATTTTCAGTCTTCACGTTGACTTATTTTTATTTTTTTTCGATATATATTTGTTTCTTGGGGATCAGCTTTTAGAAGTTCTTCCAGAATTCGGATACACACTTAAGGATTATGCTCATATTATTGTTCCTGCAATATCAAGTTTAATTGATATTACCAGTGAAGCAAGTCTTTCTGTGTTATTAAATAGTGTTTCAGAATATTCTTCATCGAATTGCATCACTACCACTACTACAACAACTGCTACTACTTCTTCAACGTCAACTTCCCATTCAACTATACCTAACTCTAAATCACAGTTAGACACAGATACTATTGATTTGTCGAATATTTTTAGCAGCGTTCCTGAAAATAATTGTACGTCAACTAATGATACAAATGTAGGTGGAATTCAGGCATCGAATACAAGAACTTCAACAAATGGTTTAAATCAACAAATATTACCTAATAAAGTGGGTAGCGTACATCTTCGTAAAGCGTGTTTAGAATGTTTAGCAAGATTTACAGATTGTGTTGATTTAGATGATTTCGCTGGACAAATAATTCATCCAGTATGCCGTTTACTTTTAACATTGGAATCATGTCATCAAAGTTATCAACAGTTATTACATCAACAACATCATTTATCGTCGACAAAATCATCAGCTTCGTTGGGTAGTCAAGCATGTTTGAATGCAATTAATCAACTTCGTGTACCAGCTATGGATGTATTAACTGGATTGTTGTATCGTATGGGTCAAAAATTCAAATTTTTCCTGCCTTTAGTACAAAAAATGCAAAGTCGTTTGCAGTTACACACACCTCGATTTAATACTGTGCTTGGACAAGTGAGTACTTTTTTATCTTTGAAATTCTATCTTTATTATCTCTTATAGACAGTGTTGTGTGTAATGAATTGCATGGCTTTTTTGTATTGTGGTCATATTTTAATATGACAAAGAATATCTGATTTTTTTTGAAATTTCGTTATCTGAATTTGTTAGTTTACATATACTGTAAAAGGAGAGTCACTTATTAAAGTTCAACTGGAGGTAATTAGAAATTTATTTTCGTGATAAAACACTGCACTTTACATATCCTGTTGAGCTACAAATTTTCGCCATCTCAAAACGTCATGATATGCTTGTTGTCGATATAATGTTGAATTTTCTACAAAAGGATTAGCAAATTTACTGTACTTATGGTAACCAGCATACTATCTGAATACCGTTTATTGTTAAGAAAATTGAGCAATATGATGTTTAAATATGTAATGAAGTAGAGTTTTTAAGTGGCCGATTAACTATTAACTGAATATCGATCAAAACAACTGGTTTCTATCTAATTCGTTTCGAAAACGCTTAGTTATATAATAATTATGGTATAAAGTCTACATATGATTTAAAGTTTACAGGTCGTTAACAAATCCAAATTTTAAATCATGAATGTTAGACCAGACGTTTGACCTCTGAGACATCGTTCATAAGGAAATAATGCAAAAGTATGGCTCTCGTTTGGGGGTCAAAAAAAGACAGTATAATGGATCTAATTACCTAGGGTTTTCATATATTACATATATAAGCTCTGCCTATTGGCTGGCTTCTATATTCTACTGTTGTAGACACAATGACAATTATTTATGTGGCGATTTTTGAATATGTATTTATTAGGTTGAAAAAGGCGCTTATCTGCCGACAACTAGTGATCGTGTGCACGTTAAATTTACCAGCATTTCTACACGTAATCGTGCACAAAAATTGAATGTTGATGATTCAGAAACACCTGGAACTGTCAAACTTTTGAAAATTAACAAGTTAGTTTGTTTTCTGTATTGCTTAAAATCCTAATTTGATGAACACAAGTACTTGTAAATTTATCCCTAGTTTCGTAAAGATTTCATACTGAAGAAAACCTTTGTGTGTCACAAAGTTACATCAAATAGAAGACCATTAAAGAACAAGCAGCACACTGAACAGCTATTTTTTTCAAACCATGTGCAGTCATTACTTTCAGGAGAGTTTTGTGACGAACAAAACGTTACTCATGCAGAGTTAGCAATAATCATTTAATTTTACGTGACCAGTGATTTTCACTCATCGGCATATGAAGATGGATAAGCTTTTGTCTCATAACTTCATCATCGCTATATGCAACGTAGAACCTGATATATATGTGCATTGGTTGCCATAACACAATCACAGCGAGAAAATTATTGAAAAGCGAGTCGCAGAGTTGTAGAAGTAGGAGCAGTATCAGTAGTAGCAAAAAAGATTAGATATAGAAAAGGCAAGAGGATATGGGGAGATTTTGGAACCCAGGTTCTAGGGGAACATAATGATTGAATCCACCTGCCCTATTGTGGAGAATCCTAAGCCATGTTACCCAAAGTTTCTTACCATTAATTACAATAATCACGTGAACCCTAACCAGGTAGTCTACACCTCTTAACATAGTCCGATTATCGACGATTTCATGGACTTGTGTGACATCTCGGTTTGACCACTCCAGGTTCACCACCCCACCATCACCTCTTTCAAACCTATATTAATTTCTCTGTTTTCATCTATTCAAGAATGATCAATATGATATTTGTGTACCATCATGTTAATTATTCAATAACGACCATTTTATAGTAGAATTGTTATTTATTTTAATGTTTCATTTGATAATTTTATCGAGTTTATTGCTCAGAATGATATTGGTACAGTAAAACTTGTTCAAGCTCTTTTTTTCATTTTACATAATACTTTGTTCTAATCGACACTCCATACTGATTTGTTATTTATATAGTTTATCCAAATTAATTATAACCTTTGATGATCCCTCTATGCATTTTGTTAAATTTAACATATTTTCCCAGTTTGATCATGTATTTCTTTTACTTCACAAAGACCTCTCTCTACTGAATAACAATGATCACAAACGAAAGTCTCAAGACTTTTTGTCAATGGCCTCATATTGTTTGCTGCTATTTTCTCATTTAAAAAACTGTTGTGTAACTGTACTTTCATGTTATAAATTGTTTTCCATGGTGTACATCAATTTCTCCTCTAGCTTGACTTTCCTTCCTTTTAAACAGTACTAATTTGGAACGTGCTTGGCATTCTTCTCGTATGGTTAGTCATGATGATTGGAGTCAGTGGTTGAAAACATTAAATATGGCACTTTTACGTGAATCACCAAGTCCTGCTATTCGTGCGTGTAGTCAGTTGACAGCTATTACACCTGGCATAGGTCGTACTTTGTTCAATGCTGCGTTTCTTAGTTGTTGGCCTGAATTAAATTATCATCAACAAGATGATTTAATTAATACTTTAGAACGTGTACTACGTGTACCAGATCAGTCACCGGAAGTTAGTCAAACTATATTAAATCTTGAAGAGTTCATGGCTCATATGGATAAAGTAAGTTTCCTTATTTTCTGTTTTTACATCAATCTTCAATTTTCCATTTCTTCAGAATTCCATTTTATGTAACTGTCCAAATAATCGTTGCTTACCTTGTCCATAGTCCACATAAATTCATTCAGAGATCTGTTGTTTTATCTTTAGGGTCCAAAGATAGCAAGAGCAATTTAAATAGTCTTATTTGATTACATTACAGCATTATTGATTATTTTAACACTGTTGTACGTAACTCTTTGATAAATCACATTCTCTTTTGTCGGGGACGTTAGATCTCCAGAACTCACTTGGGAAAGGACCTAATTTTGTAATTTTATTTAGAAAATTTGAATTTCTTGTCACCGTCATGTCGTATTTCCCACTGGGAAATATCGTAAATGCTATTGGTCCGTTGCGTCTTTTAGTATGCTATTTTGTAACTTTCCCCAAGGATGGTTTTGCACTGTATATATACGTTTTGATTTGTGTTTGTTATTATCGCTCGTTTCTGGCTGTTTGCAAAATATACTTCCCCATTCCAAGCTTGCACTTCTCCCTCTAGTTAGCGGGGCTGTGACGCATCAATAGCTTGCTTACTGGTTTTTGGTCACCGAGTCTTGTTTCTCGTTTTCCGATTAAGTGAACTCGTGATAGCTTCAAACCTAGCATCTTTATACAATATTTTAATGACAGTACGTTATATTTTCAAAAGCTTATGTAGTTAGCCATCACTTATCAGTTATAATATGTCGGCTTCTTTATACCCAATAGTATTATTTACGGTAACAGAACATTACTCTGTCAGAATTGTTTACTTAGAAAGAACTTGTACTGAAAAATTATGTTCTCAAATTAACAGTTTACGTAAAGTAAAAATCAACTAAACTCTCTATTACTTTCATTCTACGAAATTTTCCTGTTGACCACTTTCAATACCACATTAGTTTTTTTCCAAGACAATTTTCATAATACTACTGAATTTAGAAAGATAATAAGTTTTCAACAAGACAATTAAAATTTGTATCAAATAAAATGTCTTAATGATCTATTTTTATTTCTATTTTTCTCTCTTTTTAAAAATTTTAATTTCTGTAATTTAGTATTCAAGTTCATCACATCGAGTTCACTTACCATTACCTTTGGGTGTTTTAGCTGATCGAGCATTAAAAAATCGTGCGTATGCTAAAGCATTATATTATAAAGAACAAGAATTTCTCATGGAATCTGAAAAACGTTCTTGTCCTAGTCCGGCAACTCTATCATCTTTACTTACTATATATAGTAAATTGAATTTAGAAGAAGCAGCCAATGGAGTATTGTTATATGCAACACGTAGCACTCAGGATAAACTAGTAAGTTTTTTATTCTGGGTTGTGAAGTAATAATTTTTTAAGTCATTATTTAAAATTACCAGTTTAGATTGATATCATGAATGGATCACTGTTAAGCCACCATTGAAAACATTGAAGCACTAGACGGCTATTTCATTCTAGTATGGGGCTCCTCAGAAGTGCGCCTGCACGATCCCGCACGCAGGACCTTCGGTCTCGTGCGTGAACACTTAACTTCTAGACTACTGGGCCGGCATCCACCAGTGTTAATATTTAGCTTCCGCCAATACTCAATATTTATTTATTGTCTTTTATATATCAATAGGCTAATGAAGAAGTTTGGAGAGAAAAATTACATGATTGGAAATCTGCTTTAAATTTATATGAACGTAAATTAGAAGATGATCGAATAAAAGATAAAAGTTCTCTTATTCTTGGTCGGATGCGATGCCTTCGAGCTTTAGGCCAATGGTCAGTTGTATTGTTTGTTTTATTTAAATTAATATGATCCCATTTTATATCTTTTGTTTTAAGTTATTTTCCAGTGAATTTCTCATTCTTAAATAACGTAATTAGGATAAAATTTCCGCTCAATTCAAATCACATACGATGATGGTTAACTTGATTGTGTAAATCTGGTAATGAATAAAAGTTGGTATCAACAATTTGCTAGCGTAAATTATTCTGTTTAAACATAACATTTACACATAATTTTATGCAAATACCATTATTTTCTAATTCTGCGTGAAATTTTTCTTTGAGGAAATCGATTTCCAAAGAATCTACTTCCTTTAAAGCAGTATGTAGCATAAACTAGTGTCTTGATATGTAAAAGTGTTTGACTTTTAGGCATTGTACTACCGGTTCAAAATGTACCATAACATTTTACTTTCGATAGCTAGTTAATATCACCAATTCTGAAACGCTATCAATATGACTTAGATATGAATACATCAAGTTTTATTTTATTAGTGAGTTTCACAGTATTTGTGGTTGTTATAAATAAGTCGATGAATTTTAAATATTTGGTGTATTAATATAAGTTAACCTGAAATTATTTTGTTTTAACTATTGGTTTTAAAACATTCTGATATTTTTATGACAGTTAAATATAAGAAGCATAAGTTGCTTTAAAAAGAGTAGTAGTCAATGCTATGATAATGTTGACGGGGATGGATTAAGACTAACTGTCTATAACCACCAATTAATTGACTTCCTGGAATCGCTCATGACATTTTACTGTTTTATTATACTGTATTTAACGATATCATTTTATTAACTTGAAAATATATTCTACTGTCTAGTTGTCTTATCTTTGATCCCAAATTATTCGGGGGCTTATATCTATAATTCGTCTAGTGAGCAGCTATTACTTGACGGCTATATCTTATTTTTCCTTTTTACTGATCAATTAAGATCTTTCACTTTAACAATCAAATAAGTTCGTTTTATCAAATCATATAACGCTACTTCATAACTGCGATTCCAAAAATGTGATAACAGATAAGGTTTATTAATAACTGCAACCAGCATAAATGATATTTTTAATTATTCGATCCTACTGCTTTAAAACGAGGCAGCTGGCGGGAGAAATTTATATTACAATGGGCTTTTGTAGTGTGTATACATAGCCTTTGATCATCCATTTACATCTTTCGATTTGTTCTGTAATCCGAACAGTCTTCTTGTCGACTGATCAAGTATTCTACCCAAGCTGTGCTTGTGAAGTACTGAAACTCTCCTCTCCGTCTTACGACTGTGACAGTTTCTACGCTACGTTCCGTCACATGCTACTTATGAGCAATTTTGTGAGTAGCGTTCACCACACTGGTATTTATCAATAGTATAATATATTAAATATAACTGGCGTGGTTGTAACAATTACACTTATTCTCTATCTTAGATAAAGATTGATATTAATAGCTTAATTATGTAACTGTACGTATGAAATCGTAACTCTATGGTACTTGATTTACACAATGTTTCTGCAACTGACATTAATTTATGTTAAAAAATTTTATTTTTAAATAAAAGTTTAAACAGTTTCATATATTGTTGTGGACTCGTTAAAACTAGACATTAACACCGTTGGATCCCGTCTCAGTGGTTTATAGGTTAACCGTCTGCGCCAGATTGACTGTCCTGGATTCAGGTCCATCTCAGAGTCATGGGTGCTCACTAGTAGGGAGTCTCACACTAGGATGAAGCGGCTGTTCAATTATTCCGGGCTTTCAATGGTGGTTCATGAAGCTCAGCAATCTCCGCAACCCCATGCTGAAAATTCCAAAGAATCATTCTCATTTTAGTGATATTAAAAATCAATGAAATTCAACATTAACTCTACTAATGTCAAAAAATCAAACAAACTATTTGATATCTTTTCATTGTAATGCATCTGAATATCATAGAAAAACTAGTGATTGATTACAAATTAGTAGAAACCAGTTATTAAAGTTCAGACAGATGAAGCATCATTATATTCCTACCCTATGGTATTCGTTCAGTTTTTTTTCAATATTTAGGATCTCAAGAGTATAGGAACCAGCTGAGATATCAGTGCCTTAAGAGTTCAATATACCGGTTTTATCTCTTAACCATCCATTTAAAATAAATAGACACAAACGAAGATATCACTTAACTAACAATTGCTTAAATTCATGATGATTAGTATCATGACATTTTAAAATAATCTGTAGCTTATTGTTTAATTCGGAAAACTTGTTAAAACATTCGGTTTGAGGGTAAAATCTCAGTTTGCCCTTTTTGTTCTAAGCAGCGTGATGGTGTCACTAACCATTATATCAGACCTATCAGTTTTCTTAAAACTATATGATTATCATAATTGTTATTGTTATTATATATTTTTAATCTAGGGCTCCATTAAACAATATGGCGTGGGAACGTTGGAATGATGTGAACGATCAAATGCGTGCATTAATGGCACCGTTAGCATGTAGTGCAGCATGGGCTCTGAATTCATGGGATCGTGTCGAACGCTATACTGAAGCTTTATCAGCTGATAACAGTTTTGATGGTGCATTCTATAGAGCTGTTTTAAATATACATTCTGAACAATATGCTAAAGCTTGTGATTTCATAATGAAAGCACGTGATGTCCTAGATTCTAACTTAACAGCTATGGCTGAAGAAAGTTACAATCGTGCATATGCTGTAAGAAATACCGTATATGTATATATTTGTAATTATTCACTGTTGTCATAAGTATATACTGTTATATGTAAATTCTTGGTTTGTAAAATGGTAAGTAACATTTTACTTAAGGTTCCGTCATCGATAAAATCGCAATATCTACATTTTGAAGCTAAGAATATTCATTTATTCACTTATTTCAAAATCATTCTCTATTTAAAATACTCAGGATTTAGTGGGCACTCAACTGTTATCTGAAGCTGAAGAAGTCATACAATATAAACTTATGCCGGAAAGGCGTCCAATTCTTCGTGAAGCATGGCAATCTCGGTTACTTGGCTGCAATTCTGTAGTCGAAGATTGGAGTCAAATCATCCAACTACGTAGTTTAGTCTTGGAACCATATGAAGATCGTAAATCTTGGTTACGTTTTGCTGGACTGTGTCGTAGAAGTGGTCGTTTTGTAAGTTGATTACAGTAAATTATGTCTGATGTTCACGATAGTTATTTATCACAATTGATGTGAATTTAATGTTGTTTATTTGTTTTGTTTACATCGTTGATGTAGATTCTATCACGTCAAGTATTAGAAAATCTGTTGGGTTTAGATCCAGCTGGTATTCCACCGTGTGATCCTATTCCAAGTTCTGATCCAGCAATTGTATTCGCATATACTAAACTATTATGGGCAGTTGGAGCACATGAAGAAGCGGTTAGTCGTTTATGTGTTTTAAAAACACATGTGTTAGAACCATTACTTCGAGCTGAAACAGGGATAAACAGTGCTCAGCAATCTTCATCAGTTTTTCAACTTTTATCTCCGAATGTATTGAATACCAATGAGACATTAGATAGTTTAGATTCAAGACAACTAGAAATTCAAATAGTTAACGAACGGAAGGAATTAAGAAGACTGTTAGCGAAGTACGCTTTATTTTTTCTTTGTATAATTCTTGCAACTTTTTATAGGCTTCGCTTTTTTTCACTGATTACAATTTAATTGAAATTCTTTTAAAAGTGGTTATGCTACGGGTTAGGCTAGAAAACCGCTAAAAAGCAGGAGATCTTGATAGTTGTTTCTTCATAATACGTAAATTTTCAAAACTTAAAACCTGCTGTCTAGCTAGGGATCGGACCCTACAACCATCAATCCCCTCTGCCAGCGTGTCAGCTCTAGACAAATGAATCTAAGCCTTGTTATCTACGTTTCAAGCTTCCGCCTTTTCATAATACATTGCAACAACATTTTACCCACGTATGCTATTGGTGAATCTTGGACCAGAATCTTGCAGAAATATCCAAAACATTTCATCAAATGTGTTTACGTACAATTGTCAAAAATCGTTAAAAACGATTCATGCATTGATACTACTTTCCGTTAAATTATAAGTAACTAATCGAACATTCGTATTCATGTAGTTATTAACAGTTATAATTTGATTGAGTAATAAGCAGTCAACTTCAAACGTTCTGTTGTAACTGTACATTTTGATTAATCCCACAACTTATTCAAGCCTTTTTCGTAACTGAGATTCTTCAATTCAAAGGTTGGTCAACAAAAGCTTCTAAGCCATTCTGGCCCCAACTGTCATCCTATAGATCTGAGTTAATATCTTTACTTATTGGTCATTGTTGAAACGAATATCACATCATTCTAATCTTTATTACTAATCAAATTCTACCAATCATGTTACTACTTATGGGTATTAACTAACATGAAACTAGTAGTTAGAGCTTCTCGTAATTTGCTTGCAACCATCTAGCATCAAAGTATAGTGAACTGGAGGGTCAAGTCATTTAGAATAGTGACCATGTTGCAGCGTTTTCTATTGACCCCTATCTAGTAATCAGTCACGGAGATCGATCTAGCATTTTTCGTTTATTTACATTTAATTATTTTCAAACTTTCCTTTATTGCTAGATGTTGTTTGAAATTGGGATCATGGTGTTCAGAATTGTATACACGTTCACCACCTGGTAGTCACCAAACAGACAATCATTCATTAGCTTATACACCTAATTCCGTCTTTACAGCTGCCAGTGGAAATGGACTACAGTTTTCCGTCGCTGCTGCAGCGCGCACTTTATCAAAAGTGAATTCTAATAATGATGTGATAGAAAATATACATCCATCTCAAATGTCACGTGCAGCTGTAATGCGTTTATCAAATAATTATAGCGGAATAGTAGGTGGTGGACGTGAATCAAGTAATCGTAATGGTTCGCGGATTCGTCGAGCTGCTTCTACTGCTGGAGCGACATCAATAGTAAATGAAAATCTGGCCACATCCAATATAACTCAGACATGGGAAGAAAGTCAGGCGTTTGTTATTCAGTGTTATCAAACTGCAACATTACATGCACCAGATTGTCGTAATACATGGCAGTCATGGGCTATGGCTAATTATGCTGTATTCAACCATTTGGATACATTGAAAGCTTGTTTAGAAAGAGCGGAGTTAGAATTAAATAAAGCAAGTATTAATTTTAGTTGCATATTTTCCATTTTAACAGATTTGTGTACTACTTTTGGGGTTAGATATTGTTTTGTATATAGAGTAACTCTTCGATTGCCTAAAGCTAGATATAATAGAATCCGAACCTGTTGTCCAGTAGATGAAAGCTAGGTGCACCAACTCTGTCGAAAGCACATTAATCAATAATTATTTTTGTTCGATTTGGGTAATTTAAAACTTTATTAATTCTTGAAGTTAATTGCTGCTCGTTCGAGCGTTGTAGGTGTTGTGAACTGCTGGCGTGTAGAATTCCTCATGGTCCAGATTTGAAGTGTGTCAACGTAGATCGATGAAAATTTATCCTAGCCACAATTTTACTAGTTTTAGACATGATGCTAACTATTTTACGCTTCGAATAGATGTTGGTAATTTTTTTTATCATTCCTCTATTTTAGGTTGGCGGTATTGATAACCATATTTTATGGACGTCCCGGCGTAATTTCTCGTCTTCCGCTGGAATTCATGGATCTGGAGTTAATCAAATGCAGTCTTCAAATTTACCTGTTGGTAATATCTCAGCTAATTTTTCTCCATTACCACCACCTATAGCAGAACTTGTCCGTGCGAAAACCGATCTACAGAGATGTATGGAATTACATGCTGCTCCATCTGTTAAAGGTTTCGTCAATTCAATAAGTTTGTCACAAACTGCTAACTTACAGGCAAGTTAAATTCATTTTCCTCGTTTGCGAAATCAAAGTTGTTGTTAATGTCCATTTATTTAGATTCTTTTTCACCAAAACAAATACACAGATGGTAACTTGGAGTTTTAGCTTCATTGAAACATAAGGTATTGATGCGTGTATGATAGAAATAGGAGACTATACTTCAGATAACATGAGCTACCTTATTAGTTAATATTATGTATAGTTTTATTGGTAAATTTACCCCAAGAACATTCTTTCAGTATTTCAATAAACGACTGATTAAGGTAAATTTTTAATTGGTTATCTTCACTGATACTTTCATGAACTGAGGTCCTATAGTCAGTAATAATAAATCAATTTATTTCGTGATTCCCGTTAATTTACTTTTTCTTAGTCTGTACTAAATTTATTATTATCATCTTATTAACATTATTCATTCGCACAATTGTCACTAATTGATAATCTCTAAGTTTTAGTACTTATTATTCATTGGCAAGCACTATAAAGCCTGAAACCAGTGTACATTAACCCTATTCGACATACAACATTAGCGCAACGAGATGAAATCATCAAGATAGTGGGGTAAGGGGTCGGAATACTGTATTAGTATTTATAAGAAATAATTAAACATTGAGAATATAATTCGAGATGAAATAATAAGATGGTCATTGAGGAAATAGTGGGACTCAAGCTTTAGATTGAGATTGAAAAAGAGTACATCCGCCTTACTTTCGATCCTCCCCTCAGTTCAAATTATGACTGAAAAGGCTAGTCGGTTATTATGTCTTTTATACAGAAATACGATATCATTCTATGTGCTATTGAGTTGATCTAAGCAAAGGAAGAGAATTCACGAAATATAAATATGCCATGATCTTTATTCTTGTTTCACTCACCTAAAGATACTTTTGTTGCGTATTTTTTTAGTTTTTCTTTGTATACTTACTTACTCCTGTTACCCCTAGTTGAGAGTATAGGCCACCCACGAGCATTCTTCATCCAACTCTGTCCTGGGCAATCCTTTCCAGTTCTTTTGATCCTTTTCATGTCTGCTTCCGATTCCCGACACAGTGTATTCTCCAACCTTCCTCTTTTCCGTTTCCCTTCAGGATCCCAGGTAAGCGCTTGCTTCGTGACGCAGTTTGATGATTTCCTCAATATATGTCCTATCCACTCCCAACGTCTTTTCCTTATTTCCTCCTCAGCTAGAACCTGGTTTGTTTTCTTCCACAGTAGGTTGTTGCTGATGGTATCCGGCCAACGGACATTGAGTATCTTTCATAGACAACAGTTTATAAATACTAGTACCTTTTTGATGATGATTGTAGTAGTTCTCTGCATTTCAGCTCCGTACAGTAAGGCTGTCTTGAAGTTCGTATTGAAGATTGTGATTTTTATATTGGTTGACAGACAGTTGTTTAGAGTTCCATATGTTTTTCAATTGTAGGAATGCTGTCCTTGTTTTGCCAATCCTTGCCTATATATATATATATATATATATATATATATATATATATATATCACAGAATGATTAGTTTGCTATATTTCTTAGTTTTACTAAGTTTGTTGTTTTTCGCTGCAGTTTAAATGATCGTTTCATTATTTTATTTACTTTATTTAGGATAGTTTACGTTTAATCAATTTATTATTTAAATTTGGTCATTTAACTGAAATTCGTGAAGTGATACGTGAAGGTTTGACTAAAATACGTTTGGATAATTGGTTACTTGTTATACAACAATTATTAGCTCGTATTGATACACCTAGAGAATATGTTGCTACTATTATAATTGATTTGTTAATATCTGTTGGACAACGTTATCCACAATCTATGGTTTATCCATTAGTATTAGCATTTAAATCTGGTGGCTCTGATCGTCGCCGTTATAACGCTAATCGTATTCTGTACAGTATGGAAGAACAAAATTCACGTTTAATATCAGAAGCATTTTTAGTAAGTGTTCATCACTAAACTTTCTTCAGTGAACGATAAGTTTATTGGTCTATGTATGATATTATAAATAACATTTTTAAAAGATGTAGTTCAACTGACTGTGGTTGAGTGATTCAACAATTCTATTTTCGACTGATTATTCGTACAGTATTGTTGAAAGGCTATTATGCATGAAGTTTGACTTAAAACCAAGTACATAAGTTAATTACAAACCTTGAAGATGAGTTACATTAACTGTTAAGTAAAAAAAGAAGGTAAATTAAACTCCACATAACCAAAATCTTTTAATGTTGATTCAATCCATTCACATTATTTCACTTTCTAATTATTTTGATTTTATCATTATAATTCTATGTAAAAAATGTATACGATTTAGTATGTAGTGATGTGAACTTAATTCTGTTAACTAAATTTCAAACTTCCTAAGAAAACTTGATCACCTATTGAGAGGTATATGATATTTACTAATTACTGTTCAATAACCAGATAATTGTTTTTAAATGTTAGGAATGATTTTTTTCTCATTAATTCATGCCGTAACTATTCATCGTGTAATAATAGTCCAGATTTCAAGTATTAGAACATACTCTTTATGATGCACTCCTTTTCATATAATTTTCTACAGTGAGCACTTTATTTGATGTTTTTTTCAACTAATTTATATAATATATAACTACAAATCTTATCAAATTACCTTTAAAAAAACTTATTTTTCATTAGACCTGCGTTCATTGATTCTTTCTACTTACCATCATGTAACATTCAAGCTCGATTGAAATGGTATTATACACACTTCACTGTTGTCGTAGCTAAGTTACTTAGTATAAGATTGTTTAAACCTCAGCATCATTTCAAATTTAAATATTAACTGTTAGTTATGTTTCACACTGCTTTACACTTCACGTGAACTAGATTCTATTGAATTTTCATGAAGGTATCAGTATCTAGTTTTTTTCAAATATTTTGCGATTTGGTTGTCAATATTTTCACATCTTCAGATGTATGGTCATAAATCTATTTTTGTCCAGATAACATTATTTGAATCTAAATTTTTTAATACGAGGTATTCTGAAGTAATCAGTGAGGATACTCATTAGAAAATCTATTTATATTACTTCATGTACTTCGATTGGTCAGTTCTACATATGAACTGTTTAGTACATTTCTAATCAGTCAAATTGTTTTTCGTAATCTTGGTAGGATTTTATGTATATTTAGTGTTTGGTGGTTCGTGTTAGTCAACAAGGTTTGAACCTCACAAAGATCACCAGTTGCTTCAAAATTGAAGGTAACAGAATTCACTGTTAACTATCTTTAATCACCTAAAATCTCATTATAGTATACATGATATTAAGTCTCCTAGATTAATGAACATACTGCAACTGGGTTAACAGAATCCGATTAGCACCAGAGGTCTAGACAAGCATCATGACATTAGCCAGTAACTACTACTCACTGACCAATCGATTGTGTATACGATAAGCGTTTCACTCAAATTAATTATGTGTATATTAAGATTAATATCAGTGAATAATATCACTTCGTTGTTTTTCTTTATCCTAGCTAAACGAAGAATTAATTCGTTTATCGATAACATGGGTTGAAATGTGGTCAGAAGCGTTGGAAGATGCAAGTCGTGTTTATTTCGGTGAAAAAGATATTGCGAAAATGTTTCGATTATTACATCCATTACATCAAATGATGGATCGTGGTCATGAAACAATTCATGAAGCAACATTTTTACAAGAGAATGGTAATGATCTTGCTGAATCTCGATTATGCTGTGAAAGGTATGAGTTAACTCAAGTTAGAATTGACTTACAGAAAGCATGGGAAGGTTATTATACTTTGTATAGACGTGTAAGTCTTATTTGAAAATTCTTGTCATCATAATTAGTTATTAACATATGTCTGTCATATTTTATAACATCTTTAGCTTAGGTTTATAAAACGAATGATCTTAACGATATTTATTCAAATTCAGTGTTATAGTTGACCATTTTACTGCATTTATTGGTTAATCAATGGTGTTACATTTTGTATCCTAGAAAATTCTATGCCCTGCAAAAGAAGATTTAAATAGAAACCAGATTTCACATACATATCTTGTATAAATGTACATCGTAGAATTTAAAGAACATATATTTATGTATAAGTAATGATCATCAAATCTATTTTTTAAACTTATCTCAGAATTGAAAACTTGTTTTCAGTTTTATCATACTTTTTTTCCTTCTCGTTCATCATGGGGTTCAACTTTTTTTTATCGTTTTCAACAGTTTGCCAAGCAAGTAAACAACATGACAACTTTAGAGCTTACAGTGTCCTCACCTCGTTTACATGAATATGGACAAGATTGGCAGCTAGCGGTACCTGGAAGTTACGAGCCTCACCGACCACTTGTAAGAATAGCATCTATTAAGAACTGTTTAAATTTTATCACCTCCAAACAACGTCCACGCAAATTAACTATCACAGGTATGTTGTTGATTCATATATTTGATCATTTGTAGGCCTATAATCTATTCAAGTGTCCTCGTATGATTAAGTGGTGTTGGCAATATAGAGATACTTATGGTCTAAAAATACTTTAATTTATCTAGCATTTTGTTCATGGATGTTGTTTCTTTCCTGCAAGGATAACCACGATAATGTTTTACCAAGTCATATTTCTTCACTGGTCTGTGCTGTTATTTGATTGGTTGTTCTCACTTTTAGTTTATTAACCTTATTACGTCTCAAAAACATGCTTGTAGCTATATTTACAGAATTGTTCTACTTCAAATTCGCTTACTTTAATACCAAGCTTTTTTTTAACGTTTTGGATTATCTTTGTGTTCTGTCGTGTTTGAGTTTGTTATCGAAGTGTTGTGTGTCGGTGGCTCAGTTTGTTGAGATCACATTAGATTCTGTTCGTGTTAAACGAATCCCAATTTTATTAATTAGAAATCAACGTGATCGTCAATAGAAAACTTTACGATACATAATAATATCCTTAGATAATCTCTTATGCTCTCTTTAATCTATATTTCCTGTATTTACCATTCCATTACACCAGACAATTTTCTTCTCCATTCTGTTTCTCATCATGTTAATTTCCTCCTCTGTGCTCTGAAGTATGATAATTTCAAACGATACACATCCTGCGTCACATAGAACTAACTGTCTAAATGTATTATTTGTACACCATCCTTGTGTTGTGTTTTTCTCATACTGAATGTTTTCTGCTATTCACACGTTTAATCTAAGTCTTTTAAAAAAGACTGCATTTTGTAAAATTTAATAACATGCTACTAGTTAATTTCTTATAATTGTCAAAATTGGATTCCCACTTTTGATGTCTTCTGATGTTCCAGTGGATGAAACCATCATTCAATCATTGATTGCATAGATCACGAATTCTTATTAAAACTACGGAATTCATGATCGATCTAATGTTGATTTCTCCAGCTATTTTATAGTTTTACATTTTTTGATAAACCTTAAACATAAATTACTCTTGAACTAAAGGGTACACGTGGGTCTATCTAGTAATCAACATTATAATCAGATGTGTTATTTACAATATGTTTGGATCGCCGCTAGTTCTCTACGAATTAAGTGTGTTAAATATTTTGGTATAAATATTATACTGGTTTGTAGGTTAATCTCTAATTTGATAAAATGAATTCTATCAATGTGTGTATCCAAAGTATAACTTTAAATAGTTCGATAATTAAGACGACCTCTGATATATTTGAGATCAATTATTTTCTAGTTTTCTCATAAAAGAGAACCTACAACTTTTTTAAGTTATTGACAAACGGGCTAAAGTGTAGCTTACTAAAGTTGCTTTATGAATATTTCTTTACTAACTTTCAAGTTTCATCAGTTTAGTGACACATTTTTTGTTGTATGGTGTCTTATTTACTCTAGGTAACATTAACCACATACCATGTTGTATATCTGTAGTATGTTTTTACATAGGTTTCATGTGCAATTTATCGTTTAACTGAAAACTTATTTTCATCTGATTGCTTATATATATATATATATATATATATATATATACTCATAGGAAGCGTAGTCACACCATAATAATTGACAAGGATAGAACATGTGTTAAAATGACCTTAGTGTCAGCATCACAAGACTTGTCTAAAATGTTTACACACTAAGTTGCTGATTACTAACGAGACTACTTCCTATCCTCTTCTGCTTCGCTCACTAACTAGAGACAATTCAAGATCTATTTCACCAGTGAGTAATAAGTTTACCTACCCTACGGTTCTTACGATAAATGTATTTACAGTGTATTTGAGAACAGAATAACCAAATATCGTACTAATGCATCTTTTCATTATACGAAATTTATGAGGTGGACCATAATTTTTATTTTAAAAAAAACGTTCTTTTAAATAAACAGTATTATAGGATTCTCGGATTGATCATTAGGCCTTTTCTCTCTACTTTGATAATCTTGTTAAATATACTATAATTAGGTGATAAACAGGAGTAACTTGAATGTTTTTTTTCAAAATGTTACAACTTGTGGCTTGTGTTCCCTGTTAATGTATAACGTAACGATACCGCCAATTAGAGGGCAGTGAAATATCGACCGGACCAATCACGCGTAAAACCCGTACGAGCAGTCTAGGGTACTTATCTGTCCTGCTTCCTGCCTAGCCCACCCAGTTAAGTCTAGAACACAAACCACAGCCTCTGCGATATGAATCATTTATTTCAAGCATAATGGGTTTATATACCAGACAGACAGACCGCATCGTACCATAAATAGGAAACAAGATTTGGCCAAATGTGGCTGTGAATGTGTGAGGTAGTGATTAACAGACAGGGCACAATTAAAGAATGATAAATCGTAAAATAATAGTTTATAGGTCAAAATAAAGCTCATAATAAGAGGGATATGAATATGTATAGTTTAATTATTTAACAATTATACGATAAAAATATACACATAGTATTGGTCCATAAATGGATCCCAAAAGTTACCATTCATTATGCTTATCAGGACATAACACAAAACTAATGGAATGAAATTTTTCGATTATGATGGGTTTCTTTCCTATGTGAATTTGTGTTTCTTGGTCTTTAATTCAGCTTGCTAATTATGCAAAAATACTATGTGACACGACAATATTTTTGCTTAAAATATCTTAGAATTACGATAGAGACTGTTTCCCGTTAATAAAGCTGTCATAAATGTCTTGAGTAATTTTAACTCGAAGATTTTATTTTGATGTTTTCTCTGTCTATGAGTATTTTACATCAAAATTCCATTTTCTGTTATTCAGGTTCAAACGGTCACCAATATGTGTTTTTGTTAAAAGGACATGAAGATACTCGTCAAGATGAACGTATTATGCAATTTTTTGGACTTGTAAACACATTGTTAATTAATAATCCGGAAACGTTACGTCGTAATTTAACGTAAGATGAATGCTCACTCTTTAATTATATACTTATATATTTTCGTTTTCAGTTTCAATATGTTATGAATCATTTTAATTTCTTAGTAGACTCATTAGAATTACTAGAATGAATTAAACGGCTTGACTGATACTTTACTCGTCACGGGATTGACTATCAAACTTAAATCGAAATGATTTAAACGACAAAACTATGTATAGAAATATCCACTAGGAAATTTAGAATAGATAGCCGTAACAAATTTATTTCACGATTAAGAAACTCTTGAACGTACTCTTAGTAGCAACTAATTTATCAGCACATGAAGACTGGGAAAGATCATAAACACACTTGAAGTTGTCAGATTATTAATAAAGTGCATAGTTATGGACGAAGGAACTATGGTTCCGAATAAAAATTACAGAATTTTTTTAAAACAAATTAGTCAATCAACTTATTATAGGTTACTTGTCAATTCACGACAAAAAAAATAGAATAATACGAAATGACTAGTGATTCTTCACTTCTGTCTATCGAAACGAAGAGAAAAAAACTTTCTTTGTGGTTGGATAACGAGTAAACAGTGTAGCTTTAGATGTGAAAGTTGGTAACAGTCAGTAGTCTCCAAGTATTAATTCGAACGCAAATGAAGTAATACATGAACTATTAGAATCTGCGAAGGTCGATTTACATGAAATTTGGCTTCGTGATTAGCGAACGTTATACTGAGGTTGACAATAGTATAATGATACCTTATGTAAATCATCGATGAGTGTATCATAAAAAGTCTTTAAACTAGCTTGAACTCAAAGAATGGACAATCACTAAACCTACATGTTTATTTTGTGAACAATATTTTACTGACTTTTTCGAATTCTTTTCTTTTTTTATCACAAAGGATACAACGGATGTCTGTTATTCCATTATCTACATACACTGGATTAATTGGTTGGGTTCCAAACAGTGACACATTCCATAATTTAATACGTGATTATCGGGAGAAAGCTGATGTTGTGCTAAATAAAGAGAATCGTGAAATGCTTCGTTTGGCACCAGATTTCGATCGTCTAAATGTTATACAAAAAACTGAAATATTTGAAGCTGGGTTAAGAGAGTCATCTGGTAGAGATCTAGCTAACATATTATGGTTAAAAAGTCATAGTTCTGAAGTGAGTAGACTTCGGCGTTGGTGCATTCTTTCGATTGTCTCATATTTTACTCGCGTTATTTTACGCTTTTAATTTGGTTTTTGGTAATAATCTTGAACATTGCCAGTGTTTTCTTTCATAAACTAATAATTCTGCTTAAAATGGTTTTGTTATAGCTTTTTAAATCCCATTGTAGTGAACGAGAACACAAGTGGGGACAATCGAATGAAGTTTGTGCTGATGATTTCGTTCAGAAGAACGATGAAGGCTCCACGACCAAACCATCCAGCCCAGACAACAAAACTCCACCAAAATCATCCACCTGAGCTACAAATGTTCTCCACAAAATTACAGAACATCATAGTAAAATCTGAGAACCATATAGTAAATACTTCATTTGCAAAATGTCAGTCAATCATTTCAGTCTGCACTATTCCTTCATTTCCACAGCAATCATTCACTGTTCTCGTTCTCTTTTCTTCGATCTTCTTAACCTTCTGCTGCTAGGTATTTCACTTTCGATTAATGATACCTACTACTTATATCTGTCGACATCAGTAGCACACACCACACAACAACAGTACATATTCATGTGCATGATAAAATTGATAATATGTTAAACAGTGTTGTTCAAAGCATCCAGCAAGCTCATTGAAGATTTTACATTGACATTTTTTAATGATGATGTGTGGTATTGAAAGTAAATGTTATTGGCCACTGAGCACGGACAAATAGGGACTCAACTTACTATTAAATATGTGGTTTCCTTTCCGTTTATTGATTTCTCTGTAATCACTGCGAATGACTGCTTTTAAGTGTGTGAAATAGGGTTTTGTTAAGTATTTACTCTGGTTCTCTTCTTGGTCATGAATCTGGTATATGTGATATAAAATTATCTAGTCTGTGTTTACCCTATCAATCGAGTATCCACTCTAGCGGTAGTATAATGGTGATATCTCATGCAGACATAAAAATGTTTTAATTCATTTGTTATATCACGTATATAATCTGAATTTTTAACGTTTTGTAATTTTTTCAAGAGATGATATTTTTCGTGTTTTAGGCATGGTTTGAGCGTAGAACCAATTTTACACGATCTATGGCTACCATGTCTATGGTTGGTTATATTTTGGGGTTAGGAGATAGGTAGGTTACTTTATTTAATCACCCAACTACACTGATTTGTATTTTTTTTAATAATAATGGTTGTGAAAATAACAATACTCACCCTAATCAAGACCGTATGATTCAATGCAAATAAATAAATATCAGCATAAAATATTCAGTAATCTTTTTTAACTTGTATTACACCTTTCGCATTCTGATCTACAAATTAGGAGTAGAGATATTTTTCTTAATTGCCTCAATATTCGTTATTGAGTTTTGTAATAAACTAGATATAAATTTAAAGACTCATTCAATGAAAGCATTCTGTAGCTACCTTAAGTTTACTACAACTACAAAATTGAATAATTTCAAAATGTTACATTTTTCTTTATTTATTTAATTATATAAATATTAGTACAAGGAGGCACTAAATACCTATGGGTCACACAAATCATTTGATTTTTCTAAGGGCTCGGGTACTACCCGGGCGCCCAAACTGAAGCAAGTGATTTTCTTAGAGGTTTACTCCTCGAGCGTTGGACCTAAAGGTGTAATCCACAATGCAGCGGAGCAACGTTAGGGGATGCAGTTCATGGTAATCAGTGGCCAACAATTGGTTCATACTCCACTTGTTCTCACAGGATCCTGGAGCTCTACTACTAGTTCGGAATCACGATTTTCCAACTCTCCCAGATCGATCCACCAACTCAGTTTAAGTGCCAGACATTTTGAGAAAGAGAGCTGACTCTCCCTACTCTTGGCTGTTCCAGGACATTTTAAATAAGCATTGCATAAATCAAACATAATTTCAGTTGTAATAATATTTTGCACCATCAAATTGTAATGAATAAAATTCAGGTGAAGACCAATTTGTTGTTTAATGCAAAATTACGGAGTGCTTTCGTAAAATATGAATATATCAGTTGTCGTTTACGTGCTTTCCGATTCTTTAAATCATATGGTTATGAAATTTATTTCCTATTTCCCTTTCTGTTCTTGTCAATTGAATCTTCTCAATCTTCTGCTGGTTTACATTCCATTTCCAATTAGTGTTACATAATAATTATATCTGTCAACATTAATAGCATACACCACAATATCTATTACATTGGTGGTGGTAAACAGTGCATTGCATTCGGAAAAGATTCACTATAAAAAGTTTGTAAATTTTTTATTTTTGGACTTATCGTAATATCTTTATGTAAACAATGTTGCCATGTACATTTTTGCAGGCACATAGATCTCCGATTTGTATCTAGTCTGTCTTCAATCCCGATTCTATCTGGTTATCTGTACCTCATTATATGTTTTCAAATACCTGATGCATTGTTTGAAAATCAACTTTGCTATGTATGAATATGTATGTCACTTTACATTTTCAACATAATCCATCAGTAGTATCTGTCCTTTTAATTACATGTCTCACTTCATTCTGTTGTGATTTGTAGGCATCCATCAAACATAATGTTATCGCGAGTGACAGGAAAAGTGGTTCATATTGACTTTGGCGATTGTTTCGAAGTAGCTACAATGAGAGAAAAATTCCCGGAGAAGGTACCATTTCGGTTAACACGCATGATTATTTCTGCTATGGAGGTAATTTTAAATATTATATTTTAATATAAGCTATTTTCTTTTATTAGCCAATAGTAATTTTTAAGGTTTATTTAACCGATTTCCAAGTTGAATTATCTTGTTATCTATCCTTTGATTTTATGATAAGTCTTGCGAATTGAACGCTATATTCGTCTCCTAAACTATTCTGCAACCCCCAGGCTAGAACTATACAGCGACCTGAACATAAGGGAGAAGACGCAAAGTATGCGAGAAAATACTTTACTCCAAGGTTCTTTATTGTACAGAAAACACGGGTATTTATAGGTGTTAACATTTGTTAAATCAACATCATATTTTAGCCAATCCGCTAAAACACATATTACGCTACTGACCAATAGTAGCACGCCACGTTGACATTCTAGAAAGCTCCATCATGCTCTGATTGGCTATGACTCTTCGGCTCCTCTAGGGCCTCTGGAGGCTCCGTTACAGTTTTCGGAAAGCCAACTCAACATTTTAGTAACAGTGTTAGTATCCAAATTTTTGAAATGGGACCTATTTCTATATTTGATACGTATAGGTTCGATTAACGAAGATTCTATAATTCTGGTCTGACACTTTTACATGGCGATCTTTAAAATCTACTTTTCGTTCATCCTACTGCTTATTAGTTGAAATGTTCTATGGTTTACATGTTTCCAATAAAGCCTGTCACTCAATATTTAGCTAAATATTCCGAGTAATTCTTATTGACTATTTTAACCTATATACTTGACCCCACAACCATAACAAAGTGAATTCGATTGTTTCCCTCATTTGTATCGATCAATTCTCAATAGTCCATATAATTTATCTTTAAGTGCACAATCCACCTTCATGTAACAAAACTGCACAGTATTTTAATACCTTTATTTTGTGACAAACATTGTTTATACTACGAGCCAAGTATAGGAAATTTATTTGGTGCAAAGCACTTAGCAAGTAGTGATTTGTGTAATCAGCTCTGAACTACATTTTATGTGTGCAAGCTAGCAATACTACCCGACTCTCTAAAGCAGAGTAGATGGTATAGGGCTCCAACCTACTCCTTAGTGACTGGAAGTCGAACTAGTAAAGTAACAAATAAGATTATCCAACAATTTTGCTTAATAACTTCAATAACTTAACTACCAAACCCAGGAGCATATTATTTCTCTATATTTCATATTATTATTATATAACACTTGATCATTTATCATTATCACGTGTACAAATAGATTTTTGAGTAGAATCGTTCCCAAATGACCAGGTTCAAGAAATAAGTTTATGCTTTCTGATATTGAATGTTGCGGTTTAAACTCAGAACTCAAATCCTGCTAGTTGATCCCAAAAATTTTTAAATGGATCCTGGTTTTATCTCCCCACAAGTTTCTTCCATTTAATTCAATAACTCTGTCCACCCCCTCTGATCCTTCCGAAATAATTTGGTAACTAAATTCACTTCCATATGTATTTTAGGTGACCGGAATAGACGGTGTTTATCGTCATACTTGTGAAATGGTTATGTCTCTTTTACGATCCAATCGTGAAAGTCTTCTTGCAGTCTTAGAAGCATTTATTCATGATCCATTGTTACAGTGGGTACTCCATGAAAACCGTAAAGATTTTAATCACTTAGAGAATAAACTAGACGACGGAGGTGGTGGTGGTGGCGGTGTAGCTCCAGCAATTGGAACAAACTGTTTGACAAATGCAAATACCAATGGTACTGGTGGCGGTGTTCATGGTGTAACAACTGGTAATAATCAGTCAGTACAGTTGAAACCTGGTGCACGCAATTCAGATTATCCACATAGACAAGTGTATGCTCATCAACAGGTAAGTTTATGGATTGATTTATGTATAGTGCACTGTATATCTTTGTACACTAACAGGTATATTTATTAACTTGTATTTTCAGCAGCTTTCATAAACAAGCTCTTAATACAAGGTTTTGAAGGAATTCATTTCCGCAATGAAATATAACCAGTTCAACTAATTCTAAGAAAGATATCTTTTATTTATTTAATACAAATCTTTGGGCTTTTATGTTTGATACTTGTTAACACTTAATGAGTTGTTCATTTAGTTAATGACTGTTTCCTAAAACAAATCAATGTCTTGATTTCAATGAGTTTTGAATTGTACACCAATGGAACTTTATTATTATCAGATAAGTAAATATTGGAACAGAGGGAAGAAATATCTCTTCTTTTCACTTAATGTACTTCCTAGTAGATTTCTGTAAAGGGTAATTTGCCCTTTATTCTCAGACAAGTAAATATTGAATTGTAATACAAATGAAGATAAAAGTTAATACTGAGTGCATTTTCACTTCATTTTCACCAGATAGTTTTAAAATTTAGGTTCGTACTTGACTAATCACCACATTAACAACATCCTTTTTCATAGATATCATAAATTGATCTATGTTAGACCATCATTGAGAACCTGGAAGCGCCAGAAGGCCTTTCCGTCTTCATATGACTCCTAGGTAGTGTACATCTATGGTCCCCGCACGCGGGATCCGAACCCATGACCTTCGTTCTGGCGTGCAAACCCTCAACCTCTAGACCACTGAGCCGTCATTCAGTGGTGTTAATGTCTAACCCCAACCAATCCAACACATTGAGCGACAATTTTCCATTGTCTTCAGTAGCTAACTGCGTCACACTCGACATGGATTAGCTCCACTGGTCAGAGCTTCCTTTTCTACGTAGTCTTTATAATTATGTCTAATCATATAGCTTTTATTAAAAATAATATACAGGATTGTCTATGGAATAAAGATGTAAGAATTAGATTTCTTGTTATTTTTAGAAATATTGAAAATGAATCTAATTGTCGTTGGAAAATGTAACTTCCGTTTGGGAAGTAAAACAGATATTTACTAACATCATAATCCAGTTTTGTGACACCTAATCGTCAATTATCTCAGGCTTTGTTTCATGAAACATATTGATGGTTCACTTGTAGATTACAAATTGTACATAAAAAGGCAGAAACGAATAGTTAATTAATAACATATGTTTGGAACTCATTTTTCGCAAAGTCAACTTAAAGTGTATCATGAATTTAGGGAAAGATTTGTTTTTTTATACCGGCTATTCGATGGCATGAGATAATTATATTTGTTTTATTCACAAGTGATTGAAAACTTTAAATTATGTGGTTCAAAGGCTGTCAGTGTTCCAAATATATTTAATCTTCTGTTTTCGTTAAGTTCTCTGGGCCAGATAGTTTAATTGCAGTTTTTACCGTCATTCTGGATAATATTGTCAGTGCTTACTTAGTATAGAAGTGAAAATTTGAGTTATTTTACTAGCCTTAACTCAGTTTTTTCTGTTGTCCTTACTTGTAATTGTTATCCTTCATAGGTTTCATTTTCTGCATTTGTCTTTGTATTCAAATAGGCTATTTTGTTTTGTTAACCTTTAAATTATACTGTTGATTGACCGTTCATGCATATTTTGACAGGTGAAATACAATTCATTGTCTTTCTTTTCCAACTATATCCTCTTATCTAGCCTTTCTTATTACCATTCATAATGTAATTTTTTGCTCCTTTTCTATTCATTTTATTGTGTTGGTGTAATATTGCAGCTTCACATGATCCATAAGGTGGTCGTTATTAGAGGTAGTAGACAAGAAACCCTGAACCTAGGTTTTGTGCTAGTTGATACTAGCCAACAAGCCGTACCTGTGTTCTATGTGCCTAAATCATGTTTTTAGATCTTGACTATTAGTGATGTGATGACTATCATGAAATAATGTTAAGCGCATTTCAGTTACTATATTTGTGAGATATGCATGCGAAAACTGTTGTCTTTATGGCCCGCTTTTTAACACGTGATTTATCCGCCAATCAAAATACGACTTATACAATCTTAGCACTGTGCCAAACCAATGACGTACGATCGGTATGAGCAGCCTAGCGTCCTTATTGGTCCTATGTCCGCCTAGCCCGTCCACTTGAGTTCAGAACACCAATACCAGCTTCCACTATGCGAATCGAATCATTTATTTCAAACATACACTGGGTTTATATATCAACCAAACAGACCGCAACGCACCATAAAATAGGAAATAACATTTGTACGCAATAAAGTCAGAAAGTGGCTGTGAACGTGGGAGGCAGTAGTCAATAAACTGAACATAGCTTAAGAACAGTAAATCGTGCAATAATAAATTATAAGTCAAAATGAAGCTTATAATAAGAGGAATATAAATATACATAATCTACTTATTGAATAGTTATACCATAATAATATATAGATAATATTAGTCAACTAATACGTCTCAGAAGTTACTCGTGATTTAATCTTCGCTCGGATATAACAAAAACAACAAGACAATTGCTTATTTTTATAACTTTACTGTGGATAAACCTCCACATCTCATGTAGTCCGGTCTGATACTAAAAGTTATGGCAAATCCTCCCCAGTTATATTTACAGTTTAGTGATGTTTTAACCTATCTAGTTTCTCAACCAATAGTAAATTGGTTTTTTAGGTGACAGGAGACCCAGGTGTATATTTTGTGTTAGTCGGTATTGGATAGTTAGGTTTATTTATAATCTTAGAGGAATCGATACCCTGTGCATTAGTAGAACCCACTCAGCTTCATAATCAAACGTTACTACCAAGCCTTCCTGGCCGCAACTGATCTTTGCATCGCAGATACTCACATTGTCTGTGCGCCATTTTATTTCTTAGTACTAATCAAGTATCTTAATAACTAGCATGATATGTGGGCTTGTGGTTGCCTGTAGCCGTTCAACATCACAATATAGTGGGCTCGACGTTCAATCACTTTATCTAGTTGTCATATGGCTATTTGATCGGTGAAACTGAGCAAATAGTACAAGCTAAACAATCATGATACTAGTTACTGGTTAGTGTTAGTAGTTTATTCCACCTGTTCTGAGTCGTGTTATAGTTGGAAGTCGATTTATTTGATCATTTAACTGTTTCTCTAGTAAACTAAAACAACTCAGATTTTAGTCACTTAATATAGGTAGTAAAAAATGAAATTTAATTCATGCAAACTAAACACTTATTTAATGTTTATTGTTAACCACTTTGCTGCTTTCATTTTATTGAAAACATTGTTGATATCTTTGAATTTATCAGTAACTTGAAATTCAATGTAATTTTATTGTATTTTTGTATTTTAGCATCATGCTGTTCAAAATACACTTCGACGTCCAACAGATAAAAGTAATAATCTAACTTCAGGTCAACAGAATTCACAAGGACATTATCAACAGCAAAATTTGAATAGAAGAGCTAATTCACCGAACAAGGTGTTTACTAACCCAAATCATCCAGATAGTGCTTCGTTGCGTGATCCACAAAAGGTGAATCAATGGCGTCATCATTTGTGTAATGGACCTTGGTTTGGTTGTTATGAAACTGGTAGGTGTTGTAAATTATATTCCTTAATTTATTTATTTGGTAAGTATGAAAACTCTACCTCTTCCCTATTAAAGTAAAGGCTAATGCGTTCCGAGTATTAAGAACTCAAATCAGATGTTTGAATGAACAGTTTACAGAGTTCTAGTAATCTAATTTTTAACTGGTGAAAATTTACGCAGTGTATTATGCAAAACGTGTATGAAGATTTACGTGAAAAAAATACCCTTATTAAAACGTTAATTTATGTAGAAAGATACATTTCCTCAGATATTTTGGTAGACAACTATTCCGTTTATTTGTTATTTTAATCTTTACTTAGCTAAACGTTTAAGAAAACAAATGGAATCCGGTCACATAGTAGTTGAACGTCATGGTAAGTTCTGTTTGAGTTCATTTGTATTCATGTAAACAGCATTATATACATATTCTTTCGCTTTCTTTAACTTAATGTATTCTGATAACTGACATAAAACTTGTGGTTTTAATCTTCGCCTTCCAAAACTTAATGGAGTGGTGACTTAGTTTCAACCCCACTACTTTGCTTTAGGTAACCAGGTTGTAGTATTATTAGCCCACATTTAAAGTGTGGCTCATACTCGGGTACCTGCTGAATGAATTAATTTAATTTTTACTCAAAACTATATGTACAGCTTTTAGTTTCATTTTAATTTTGTGTCACTTTAGTCAAATTGTATCTTTAACACGTAAATCCTTATATGTAAACAATACGTTTTATTTATTCTTCTAGTTTGTTATCCATGTTTGTTAATAATTTGACGTCTAAATTTGTAGCTCACGAGAATGATTTCGGCGGATTTGCGTTCTTTGAGTTAAATTGCTGAGTCGTAAAGCTTTTATTCTGTTTTGTTAGATAACACTGTCAATAAAACAAGCTGTTATTTGTTTGTGAAGATGTTCTAACAGCTCATTTCTATGTGAAGTTTGTAGTGATGATTCTGTCTATAAAGGCAATACAAGTTCAACGGCTAAATCACCTTGCTCGCGGAACTCAACTCCACCAACATCATTCTTAAGTTGTAAGAGGTTGAATTCAATTTGACAGTTATGTTCAGTAGTGTTGAACCTAAACTAACTAAATAAAATTATCCCAAAAATGGAATAAATAATTTTCAAACAGGGAATATAAAACGTATCATAACTTTAAGATCGATAAAAATGATTTTCATATTTTTTATGGACAGGTAACCAATATGGTTATATTTTAGACTTTAATTCTAATAGTTTTCTCCCAAAATATTCTTTTTACATTTCGGAGTTTTACTAAATAGATTAAAAAATATATTCTAAAACTGCCTTATCTTCTGATACCCGTTTAGTTGGAGGCTCATATCAATAATTCGATCTCATGAACAGTCATAACTTGGTCACGTTATATATTATCAGTATTCAAACATTTTTTCATTATAAATAATCAAAATCTAACTCAGAATGAACAGAATTATATCAACAAAAAAGAAATAGTAATAATGTATACAGAATTTGTAGGAGAGCTTATTGATAAACAAATTTATTTACTGAATGTTTTGCTCTATATTAACAGGCGGATCGTAAATACCATGATCACTACTTTACATCAAATAATACCTGATGCTTATTGTATCTGTATGCTAGTTATAATATAAACCTCATCATATTAAAGTTTATTGTCAAATATGATTTATACAATAATGTCGATATGATTGATTTTTTTTAGGACTACAAGGGTTTATATTTTCTGCAAAACCTCCAAGCACTGAAGACTCATGTATTGATTCAGAATGTAAGTTTACTTCATACCTCAGGTATCAGTAATTTTTTCATCGAGATCATCATTAGTATGTCTTGAAATTGTTCATATGGACATTTTTTTATTATTTCTTTTAACAGAATCTAAAAGTATAATGGAACTATTTTTAAACAATATTTTCTCTATTTTTTTTCAGCTCAGCCTGTTACTTTAGGAAATGTACGTGCACGTTCTGTAATGGAAAGAATTAGGCAAAAACTGACTGGCACTGAAAGAGATCAAATGATGAGTGTTTCTGCTCAAGTAGACTTCCTTATACGTGAAGCAACTTCAAATCAAAATTTATGCCAAATGTATATAGGCTGGTAAGTAGATAGTTATGTTTTATTTTGTTTTTAAATGCAGTATTGGTGACACTATAAAAGTGTTCTATCCGTCCTTGAGCGACTGTATAGTTCACCAATTAGAATGACAGTTGTTTGTTTTGGCAATGACTAGGATTATTTTAACAACTGGTAGGAGTTTTCATTATTGACATTTCAGTCACTGGTGCAATCGTATCAATGTATTAGTAATATTTACTGTGGTGTTGTACTCCTATTCACTGCCTTCTCACGGTGAGGGTGTTGTTTACGAAATTGAGAGGAAGAAAAACGAATGTCTCGAGCTTAAACTGGGTTGGTAGAATTGGAAAACCCTGGTCCCAAACTAGTAGTACTAATGAGCTCCATGAACCCGATGGGACAAATGGCGTATGGACTTATTTTTGGTTACCCGCTAGCATAGAACTGCATTTCCTAACGTTGCTCCACTGCGTTATTTGTAAAGCATCTTGTTGAAAGGCTTGGGGAGTGACCCCTTCAGAAAACTACCTGAATCGGTTTAGACACCTGGACAGTATTTCTGCACAAAAATAAATTCAATGATTTGTGTGGCGCATACACGTTTTGGTTCCCCTTTGTACTAATGTTTGCGTGTTTAAATGAATAAATAATATATAAGTATACACATGATTATATTCCCGTTGCTTGTTCACGCTCAAGTTATCATTAACTTTCCCTTACGTTACTGACATATCGAAATTTCGATATTATTATTATTACTGCTTTCCAAACATGAAATCCATCCCTACTATGGTTTTAATGCTGCTACGGAAATCCTGTAAAGGAGTAGGGATATAAGCTAATTGTTATAACTATCAGTGTTTAAGAAGATTGTTTGGACATTAGTGAGAATGTAACTATAAACGAATTTCCATTCATGCGAATGACAGATGTAAAAGACATGAAAATGAAATTATTTTGTGTTTGAAAAGAAAAGCATTCAGAGATGAGTGTTGTTGCAATACTCAACTTCTCATTATGGTGTTTCTCCCACTAAATGACACTCAGTGTTTTCGAACAATTCACGCAGTAAAGGAATCCTTTTCGATCAGTTCATTATTTAAACTTAAGATTTTTCATAACTAACATGGATGAACAATACTCGAATGTCAACCACAATAAAAACTAAGTGTAATTGATCATATTGTCTATTTCGAAAATATTCCTAAGGATCTAGTGATAAACGATACAGAGTAAGTATCGATCTGCCAAGTAAACGCATGAAGAGTTGTCAAGTAGCTTTTCATTTCAATTAACATTATAACTGGTATCTGTCATTAATTAATTATAATCCATACAATATACATAGTCTAAAGTAGTTCCATACTGTGCATAATCATAGTAGTATATTTACGAAAATTTCATTGTTATGTTTGTTATACAGGTGTGCTTTCTGGTGATATATTAATTTTATTCAATGATCAATTAATCAATCAGCTATTGTATTTTTCTTATTACGTTACCATTGAATTATTTATGAAAGTGTAAATTTACTTTATCAGTTAAAAAATTGGTTTTCATCTAAAATATTGTACAGTTTTGTTGATTAAAAATGCCTTCTTATTTAAAAGAAAAGCCAGGTTTTCTGGTTTTTGCGTTCTTCCTTATTCAGTGAAGACGAATCATTTCCATTCAATTTTGTTAGTGATATTATATACTTTTCAACAGTAGTAGCAGTAGAAGGCATTAAGAGACTAAATCTAGAGTAGTCAAGTTCCGTCCATCATAAGCTTGTGAAACGAATTTAATTATACCATCGTGAAATAATCCTTACTTATCCTAGTTCTGTGGAGAAGGCTTAACATAAATCTATACTGAAAAAATACATATTACTTTATATAACAATCTTATACTTTAAGCATAGTCATTGGAAAACTAGAGATTATCATAGGAGTGAAAAAGATTTATCTTTTTTTAATTATCACAAAAATGTTCTGTACAACACATTGGGTCTTCTGTTTTTGATGTTAACATTTCCTTTTGGCTCGTTTCAATCTTCTTTTTCGATCAATAATACTACGTGTATGACGATTGTAGAACCATACTTTTATAATTTTTTTGTCAACATTTAATTCTTTAGCCAGTTCTATCAATTCATGTGCAGATAGTTTTTTATTCTGTCAAAAGAAAAACCAGCAACATAATTTTGTAAGTTACAACATGATTCTCTATCGAGACTGAAAAATAACACGTTGCTGACTGATCGTAACAATAATGGTTACAAAGTTAAATAAACTGTGGTAAGATTTTCAGTCTCGATATTTGAAGTTCAGTAAGGGCCTACAGTACTTTCAGAATTAGGAACGATCGATCTACTCTAGTAACGCCGGTTCTACTGTATAAATCGATAACAAAAAACTGGCACATAACACTTCATCACTTGTCCTCTAACACAAGAAGATAAATTGTGGAGAGACTCTATACTCGAAATAGAAGACGCAGAACAAAACAAAATTATGTAGTAACGAAAATATGCATACACAGCTTTAGCAAACTACAAGCGACGGAAGTCAACCACAAAAAGGCAGAAGTCGTGCAAAAAAGTAAATTACAAAAAAAGAAACTTGCGGTTATCGTTTCTAGCAAGGTTTTACCATTGTTACCAAACTTTGAGTAATCTTGTGATCGCCTTGATAGGTATCAATTAACGAGTCGAAAATTTTACTCAGTTATTCATACCAAGTGTGATTTGACCTAGGTTGCTTCATCACACATTAGCACGGCATTCTCAAAATAAAAGAAGCTAGCAGATATATTTAACAATAGTAAGTGGTGGTTTTCCTTCTAAAAATAGGACTAGGATATAATTATTTATGCCCATAACTTCACCCGAATAATACAATTTAGTGATCATCTTATAATGTCAGTAAAGCTTGCCAAAATTTTATCTTATTTGATCAAACAAGTCGACGTCTTAGGAAATTGAGACGTTCAAACTAAACAAATATACTGTGGAGCAGTAAATTACCATCCGGTTGCGGGGATTATAAGAATTATGAGAAACGAATTAACGACTAAGTGTAAACACTAACTTGTCTATAGATTCGCTCCAACTCCCTTCTTGTAGAATCAGGTAGTATTGTTCTCGGTCGTCGTTTTGGGAATTTCGAAAAAACGGGACTTTCAGCCTAAAACACAGATAATTAAAAATATTTGACATAGAAAATGGTAGCGAGAAAAACGACTCACGAACTTGGAATTGATTTTTACTATACTTAAAATTAACCAATCTTTCAACAAGTAAAAGGAAACAATAAACTAGTTTTGACTTATTTGTCTACTACTAGACAACTAATAAATTGATAGGTGGTTATTTTGCCTTATGTCACTACAATTTACGGAAAATTTAACTTAAATTTGCGATCGCAGTTGTTTGTGGAATTTATACATTTCTGTAGAAAAAACCAATGGACGTAATGTCGGTTGATGTATTATTCCATGCTTTCCGTTTCTCATTTTTAGTCTTTTATCAAATTTGATACTTCACGGTTAGCTTAGCACTGAGTGTGGTATTAGTTTCCATCATTTGCTTATCATTTTACTGATGTTCTCTTATTGTGCCGGTGTGAGTGGCAGTGTTGCAATATGCATTAATGCTAGGTCCTATGTTGTTTATAACTGAGTGAGATAAAATCTTATTACTTTTTAGTAATGACCTTTGACAGAGTGCTGAGCAAGCACGCTTGTGAAGTGAATAGGACTAGTAAATTATAAAAATACACTGGTCTGTTCTGTACCGAATATATGTGATCTTGTAGTTTGTTTGCTAAGTACAAGTTTATGTTTTTGGTTTTAACTCACATTTTTCATGTGGGGACTAGTAACACTACCTAATTCTCCGAACCGAAGGAAATGTAGTGGGGTTTGAACCTGATGTTTGGAAGTCGAGTGTTTCATTTACTAGATCACTGCTCTACATATTTTCGTACGACTAGGATTGGTTTTCTGGTGAAACAAACTTAGTAAAACGTCCAAATGTGATAATCAGCCAACAGCAAATTATTTTCAGAAAAAATTGTCGCAGTATACCCCAATCCCTCAATAAACAGCGTAATAGTCATATCAAGCACTTCATTTTAGAACTGTCTCTTAGGTAAAAGAGTCTGAGTATTTAAAATTTGAAGTAATTAGATGTTGAAAATATCATTAAAATTATGTTTGAGTTTATATTAAATGGTGCGTCAGTTGTACACTTCTGGTTAGCAAGGGTAAGGATTACTTAACATAGTTAATGACCAAAAACATTATTTTGCATTAAGAAAATGTAGTCAGCATTATGATTTCAAAGGAACATGTAGTGAAACTAAATGATAATCATATTTGTGAAATAGGACTTTGATAATCATTAGCGAGATTTTTCGTCGTGAATGCTCATTTTCAGTAATGATGGATACTATTAAAAGGTTTTTTTAGTTCGTATTCGTACTAGCCTGGTAAAAACAGTGCAAAATATAGTGGTATGAACAATTTAAATTAAATACCTCATCTACACTTTGTTTATAAATGTCTTGAATACTAACAAGAGCAAATCATTTAGGACTAGAACACTAATCACGTTAAACAAGTAGAAAGTACGAACTAATTAACAAGCCAGCTATATTTCTAAGGAAAAATATTCAGTTACCTGAGGACTTTCTTTGACTGGTGATTTCGTATCATTATTATTATTACTATTATTATTATTCTGAAAATCAACAACAGCTCGAATAATTTTATCGCGACCATCAGCAGTTTCACTATCCTTCAACCATCTTAGAATAATCGGATAAACTTTCAAGTAATTGCTTAAACTAAGATCCATTCTTTCGAAGCGTGAAATCATGGATACACTACGATGTACTCCGTAAAGTTTTCCAAGTGAATTTGCAACATCAGTTTGCGAAAGATCTAAAAAAAAGGATATACCTGTGTAATTTAACCATATTAACAGAGTTAAACCTAGTCTTAAACGAAAACGAAACATGATTCGCTCCCAGACGCCATTCGAACTTCTTAGTTTAAAGGTAATGTAATCCTCCGAGTATTGTTTATTATTAATGATTATAATGTATAGAAAGTAAACTAATGCGCTTAGCAAGATGATGCGATCAGTAGTCTGCATGCATCCGAATGGACCTCAGAGATAAGATAAACCCGGAAAAACCAGAATGCACTGACTGGGTATTGAGCAATCAAATTTTTACTCCTTGTCAAGTCCCAAAGGAGAAAGGACACTTATCAGTACTTTACTTTTTTCACATTTTCCGATGTAATATAGTAACGGACTCCATCGATCGAAAAGTTTGTATTAATGGTTGTCCAGGACAAAGCACTCATAGAAAGCTACTATAAAGAGCGGCTACAACAAGTAACATCGCTCAGAGATAGACTTATCTTTACACAGCACAGGTCTACTTGTAGACTTTACACTTAAGGCTCCCAGATGCCCTTATACGGCCGAGAGTGAGGAGAGTTCGCTCTCACATGGCCTCAGGTATGCAACCACTGCCAGAAAAGTCCTACTCACTGCCTTCTTGCGGCGGGTGTGTTGCTCACTAAATTGAGATGACAACCGAATGCGTTGGTGGATATGAAGAATCCACCTAGGGCATTTGGTGAACCCTGGTTCCAAACCAATGGTGTACATGGGCTCCAGGATCCTGAAGGAACAAATGGAGTATGAACCTGTCGTTGGTCACCGATTACCATGGGACTACGTCTCCTGACGTTGCTCCACTGCATTGTGGATTAGACCTTTAGGTTAAAGGCTCCGAGTATGGCCTCCTAATGAAACCATGTGCTCCGGTTCGAGCACCCGGGCAGTACTACAGGCCTCATATAAATCAATGATAACTACTACTGACCTCACTGTTACTGTGTGGCGCATATGTATTTGGTGCCCCCTTGTACCAATGTTTATGTGTCCAAATAAATAAATAATACTATTCAGAGGAAGAAAAACTGCTTCATTTCCAAAACAATTATAATTGGGGTTCGATTATATTTATTAGTATCCAGAGTGATAATATTGGTGCACAAATCGGCGATGACAATCAAATTGATGAACAATCAAGTTGACCACTACAACTTGCCAGTGCTACCAACTTGCTAATCTAAATATCTCATATATGTATTGTAACTAGGTAGGCTGCATCTGATGTCCTCCTTGAAACAATAACTTACACCACGCATAAAACAACTGAGATATCCCGAAGCACTGAGCAATGGTAGCTAGACCAAGATATAATTCTAAACAAGTGAAACATTCATCCATGTGAAGGATTGTGGATGTCCTGGTTCACGTTTTAACTCAATTTCAGGACAAACAAACTACTCCAAATATATTAATTGTTTATCCTGGTGTAAATAACTAGTTATTGCTTTTTTCTGCATCATGACTTGTTTTATTTAACTTTCATTTTGAGTCTCAGTACAACTATAGATTACTTCTTTTGCGGCCCTGGACGCGCTGATTTTCAGTGTGATAAATGTTTTCAGTGTTCTACGACCCAAAGTCCTACTACGCTTCTTTATTTCTATGGGATAATTAGTTTCCTGTAGATCACAATAAGTCGAAGGCAATGGTTGACAAACACCGAAAATAAGTCCAGTTTACGGACAACCACCTTCATATTTTTAAAACCAAATTAAATGACACTGGTGTTTTCCCTACGGTGTACCGTCCTTGTATTGGATGATTTAAATAATAGAATTTTACTGTTACCTTAAGTTGACATTTAGTGACCGATACATCTATTTAAAAAATACTTCAAAAATTTAATTGTGTTTTAGATATTTTTATTCTAATGGAACTTACTCATTCCAATCCTCCTATCAGTAAATGTAGAAGAGAGTTTTTCTAATTCAACTAAGTCATTAAACCCACCATTTGAAATGACAGTATTTTCAGTTGTGTGGAGATTTTCTCCATAATTTCCTCTTTGACCATAACTAATTTCATAGGATTCATGATACAAATTGACTTTCCTACGAGGCTAAATAAAGTAGTAAACAAATTTCTACGGATATGATCATGCTATGATTCTCAATAAACGTAGAGGAACATTTAAAATATACATTGCGACATATTTTACTTCTTTTTGCATACCTTCAAGCCAATACAACATTGAAAAAGTAATATTGCCTCAGGTGGACAAACTATAAATATTTTGCTGATTAATTATATATGCATATGACTAGATACACAATACAAAGTCATACATTCGTCTGGCAAACCAGTGGTATTAGTTCTGTTTACAACACACCACTAAACGAAATTCTTCGTGTCTTTTAAGTTTGATTCAATTCTCCTGAGTTACTGGTTATGCATTAGAACTTATGAATACAAGATGTAGCAATAAAATGATCCATTTAACAAGTAAAGGTTCAAACCTTTAATCCATATGTTGAAAGCTATTTTTCAGCCACCACTTCTGGAATTTACTAGAAACAATGGCTTCAAATAACAACCGCGCATAATCTATACTTAACAAATACGGTCATTAGAGTTCCAATCGCACATATACTCAAAAGACAAATCTACTACGTGAATTTTTGAATTTTTCTATCACTACAAATAAAATACGGCTTAGCAAAGGAAAGAAATCCATTCTCCGTTTACTACAAAAAATTCTAGTCATGCCATCCTCTAACAGAATAATTGAAGTTATAAACTAACTATTGATAGTAGAGTGACCATATCACTACAGTTATAAGTTGGAGGCTGAAGATTAGCGAAAGTTATATTTTAATAACCAGATTACATTAGTTCCTCTTTTTCCCCATTTTTATTTCTTCCCATTACGTTTCCTTCTGCATATTATAGTATACTACTTACTACTATTCAGTAACTTATGTTACTGTTAATCATTTTATGTAATAAGGTCTAGGATGTCAGCTTGTTGTTGTATGTGAAATTTATGGGTATTTACACGTATTCGTAACAAACTACCGACTCCATCATTAAAATCGTGCTTTTCTCAATAGCCTGTCTTCACATTAAAGGTGCTCACTACGCATGTGTGTTTGTGGGAACGTATATATTTGGTGTAACATAGTTCTCGCCTTGATTCTCTGACTGCCATTATTGACTTTGACACATATGTGGTTACGTTTGTCGATGAAATTCCGTAATGGCAACGAAAAAATAAACAATACGGTTTGTAAACCTTAATTTGTGAGGTGTTTGCAGCATGTAACGCTCCGAAGAACGACCCATGAGAGAGTGGATTGACAAACTGAGTGATAGGATATACATGCCGAAATCAGTGATCACACAGAGCAAACTAAAATAAGAACTATATAAGGCCACACACGAAAGTTGTTGCGAATCAAATAAAGTCGAATGAAACCACATAAAATGAAAATAAACTCTTATGAACGTTACGGAAATACGATTACAGTTTCATTATTGAAGTCATATGAAAAATGAAAACATAACTACTTCTACGAAAGTTCCTAGTACAACTACACCTAATTAGACAAGTAAGTTAACAGTATGAAACAATTACAATAAAACTTACACGAGGATTACTGCCTACATAAAATATTGACCCCGGAAGCAATAAAGGGCCATATTCCTGAGCTGGGAAAATTTAGAAAATAGATGAAACAATACCTTTGCTCACAAGTCTTGCATCCATTTGTTTATTCAGTTCAGACAAAATAACTGAATCTGAGCTGCTCCTCAAGCTATTAACATTCGATGTTGCGATAGGTACATGAACCTTGATAAATAACTTTACTCAACGATAATAAACATACAATACAGTCGTCAGAGTTCCGGAAAGTTAAAAACAAGTCGTTCGGTTGCTCTGTGTGATCCCACGGTAACAATATGTCACTTAAAGATGTCATTTCACTATAAAAACCAAAAGGGTCAACAAGCTAGAGGCAACATTAAAAGGTTACACGAAGTGCATGCAAAACCTGATAAAATTAGTAAGCAATAAAATACAACTGGTCAAGAAGGGAATGATTGAAAATACAGCTGTTTTGTGATCCATTTTATACTTATTTTCAATAGCTAGCTCATAATCAACCACAGAGTACTAGGAGGCCCATTAGTTTCATACCGAACTTAATCAGTGGTACTAATAAAACAGTTTCAACGAGCTGGAAAAAGGCATTTTGCGTTAACCGTGGAGCAATATGATTCTGAAATACGGGAATGTTCACCGTAAAATACTACCAGGCATCAGGTAGGAACTACAATCCAGATCACAACTGAACATATCTATACACCGTACATGAATCACAGTATATTTCCACAGAAGAATTACTAAGATGCATACAGAAACTACAGCTTCAAAACTAAACTCCGATAGCTTAAGAAATCATATCACAACATCCCATACATAAGATAAAAAGTAACAACGATTACAGGGAAACGGGATAAAATATTTAAGCACGAATGAGAGTAATTAAAACACAGCTTCAATACGGTCAGTGAATGAAGGATTTAGCCAAATGAGATACCATTATATATGAAAAACCCTAATTTATTTATTTATTTATTTGAACACATAAATATTGGTACAGCAGTGCGTCAATATATATGCGCCGCACAAAACAATGAGAATTTAAAGAAAAGGAAAAAAAGGTAAGGAGCGTCAAAAAAAGATAGAACAATAACGAAGAGATCGGTGTGCACAGTTGCAGTAGACGGTCACCGTTATCTGTCCTGCTACCAACAAGTCCCCATCGGCCACCTAAACGACTCTCTTCTGTGCCTAGACGCCTGACCGGAGCATTCAAGACTCCCGCTAGTACAAAACAAAAGCTTAAACATAAAATCAGAACAGTCACCTAAATCATCTATGAGTGTTTGGCCGGTATGTATTTTTTTAGTGTCAAGTACTGAAGGGATTAGTGAGAATTAGTAGTGAAGCGCAAAGACAGGTCATAGTTGCAGTCAAAATCGACGACACCGTGAATTCCAGACGACGCTCTTCAGCAACAGCCGAATTCCACCATCAGAAAAATATTAGGTGAATCCATATTGTACACATTGATGTATCTAGACATCCACATACATCGAAGGGCCTAAGAATTATGGATAATAAGAGGCTGAATCTGATCTGTTACTCATAAATACCTTCAAAAGAGGATGGTTGACAAACCTAGAGGAGCATTATTGACGTTCGAGAGTAATATAACATACAAATGAGTAAAACGATATCCGGGCAATATTTAAGCTGCAACTTTACAGCTGATGTAAAACAAAATGAAATTCATTGCAATCGAAAGAACCAAATAACAAACAGAAATGGAGCCAAAACCACACGAAAAATTAATAAAATTGAGACAAGAGCTTAAAAAATTAGGATGAACATAGTAACTCAGTCCACATAAATAAAATACTTCATCATTTAAAGCCTATTAGATATTTTCGAAATCCCTTGTTGACCATAGTAGCATGTTAATTTGCACCACTATCCTACTCTACCGCACAACAAACAAATTAATGTTAAGGGAAAGAGAAAAACGAAGTGTCAAGTGACAGAAAGTACACTTGAAATGTAGGGTCTGAAAGACACTATACTTGGCCGACATATTCTTAACCTAAACTTATACCTGACCAGTTTTATAGAGCGTGTCGTTTCAAAGTCCTATTTGGATGTTTACGAATCACCAATTCCGGGTTGCATATTAAACAAGTTAAGTTCTTCATTTTCGCCACACCCAAAGCATAATTCTTTCCAATAAACAAGTAGTGATTGACGAGTCACACGGAACTATACCTGACTGCTCTAAAAAGTGGGTGAGCACAGTGGACGGAGTAAGGTCGGGTGGTTAGCATTGGTCATATAACATTCTCATCATACACAAGTAGTGCCCTTAGAATACCATATGTACCGAAGCACTTAGGACCCAAGCATTTCCTCTTGCTTCATCAATCATGTTTCATGTTTGTAAAGTGATGCAGAGCAGAATTCTATGTAGTAGATCCTTTTTTAATCTAATAAAACTGCATATACAATAATGAGTAAGGTTAACGCACTGTTGCTTAGCCCTAGAAACCCAACACGTTTATTTCGTCTAGCTAGCCATATAAACATATAATTTTCAATACATCGCGTAGATAGATAACATCAAATATGATCTCTTTTCTGAAAACAAAACGAAGACAGTGCACCTGCTAGAAGTGTACTGTTCAGCCTTGTGTATGCTTACGTTTAGCCTGAAAATTTCTTGTGTTGGAGGATTGTTATAAACACCGGCTAGAATGCCAAAATGCTATCTAGCTAAATGAATAAGTGAGTTTCGCGCCAACTCCAACTCCTGTTACTTTAAATATGATTGGTTCGTCTATAAGTTATAGTCTCACCGAGAAAATAACAGGAAAAAATTGAGCTGACGACTCATTATGTACAGAGAATGCACTTACATTTAATAAGGAAGTCAATTGACAACAATCATTAATAACGCGACCGTGCGATTAAGACAATCTGATAATGGGGACAACAAGTTGATAGTGCGAGGTTAGAAGTTGTAAGTAACGTCGAACTTGTATGTGTGCATTCTGCGTTCAATGCTCTATGTACTCCACAACCTTCAGTCTTCAGTATTTTGGAGAGAAGGTAAATCAACTGTGTTAACCCTTGCACCTTGGAATAACGTAGAGACCTAATCTCGCCTTGAATTTGCCAACAGAAAATGGTGACATTACATGTGGCAGAGAATTTCATTAATGCATTACTCAGTGAGAGAAAATAAAATTCCAGAAGTAAACGATTTAATTTCGGTGTTTGAACATTTTGAGAATGTCCTCCTAGGTGATAAGCCCTAGACTAGTGGAAAAGACAGAACATCTTAGTTCCAAACTCGCCGTTCAGTATATGGTAGACCAGTGTAGCGGTAAATAAATCCCCAAACTAAATAGCTCTGTAAGTTTTCAACATTGGGTGCTGACCATATGTTTTGGTGGACTCATCTAGCTGAAGGCGCTCGGTCATGCATGCGCACCAGATCACGTGTGGTAACGCTGTGCTCAACATCTACCACAATCGCTAGCCAGATTAGATCAGAGAATTCCGATATATTGGTAATCGCCAAATACACTCTTCCGATCTCCTCGACTCTGTCTTTTGACTTCTCTTGGTGGGTACGAATTATATTAGAAGGTGTTACTGGTAGAAGCGTTGCCAAACACTGAATACCTGTGCCATCTTCATTGGTGAGCCCAACGTGATCTGGTACACCTAATTGCAACTGTGAGTCTGTTCCTTTTTGGGATTTTTATATATTTTTGCCTTATTTTTTAATTTTTATACATTGTGATATTTTTTCCCCTTGTCTCAGGATATCTATATATTTTTCCCTCGTATTCTCGTACTTAATTTTTCCCTATGACCGAACGGACTCCTAAAGTATTGAAGATTAAGACCATGTCCCCACCCTCGTTCCAACTCATGCCCTTCTCTCCCAACAATATCGAAGCCTGGTTCCGTTACACAGAAGCCGACTCCCACGAGCACGGCGTGAATAACACACGTGCACAATTCCTCTCAGTAAACAACGCACTACCGCTGGAATTCGACAGGTACGTAACACCTAGTATGTTTACCGGTGATGTTTCTGAACCTTACGAAATCTTAAAACGTTCGATTCTTAAACGAGGAGACCTGACCGATCGACAAAGGTTAGGTCAACCCTTTAATAACATAGACCTGCAGCACGGTTCTGCGACGGACATGTTACAGAGAATGAGAGAAGTGATAGGCCTAAGAACTTTCGACGAAGGCCTATTCAAACAACTTTTCTTGTCTAAACTTCCCCTAACAGGTGCAAACGATTCTGGTCTCCTTTCAGAACAACGCCTCAGACGAGCTGGCTGCATCTGTCGATCGTATCTTAGAAATTACGAAAGCTTCTACTACCGAGGTTTTTTCAGTCAAAGAAAAGCCTCAAACGACCCAGAATGACATAACCGAGTTATGTCATACACTTACGCGTTATCTTAATTTTCGTAACCACAGTAAGCGATCACACACCCCACGTAGAAGCATTTCACGTAAGCGATCTGTCTCTAGACCACGAGAGACGGATAATCTCAATTGGTGCTGGCATCAAAACCAGTATGGAAAGTCTTCCAGAAATTGCAGTGAACCCTGCAATTTTCCCATCTCAAAACCGAGCGACACGAAAAACAACTTGCGAAACTTCCAAGCCGGCACGCGTTAACGGCAACCGTAGCCGGCGAACATAGCCGCCTGTTATACGTCACAGATGTGACAACGAGAGTTCGCTACCTCATCGACACTGGCGCAGAAGTTAGCGTTCTCCCAGCGAATTCGAACGACCGACTTCACGAATCGACCCCAAACTTACAGGCGGCAAACGGAAAACCGATCGCTACGTATGGCAAAAGGTACGTTTACTTTAACATGGGTTTACGCAAACCCATTCACTGGATCTTCGTTGTTGCAGATGTTTCTATGCCAATCGTTGGTATAGACCTTCTACAACATCATAATATAATGATCGATACACTCAAACATAGGCTAGTAAACGGAAACACTAATTTATCTGTTTGCGTAACTTCAATATCTGGTTGCAGATTATCTCCAGTCACAGTTAAGCACACGATAGACTCATTCTATCAACCACTACTCGATAAGTATTCTGGGATACACCAAACGCAACCGAAATTTCCGTGTGTAACCAGCAACGTTACACATCACATCACGACTACGGGACCACCTGTATTCTCTAAAGCACGACGACTAGCTCCTGAAAAGCTAAGGTTAGCGAAAAACGAATTCGATCACATGATAGACTTAGGAATCATACGACCGTCAAATAACCCATATGCATCTCCATTGCACATGGTCCCTAAAAAGGACAGCAACGATTGGCGTCCAACTGGTGACTATCGGCAATTGAATGCAAAAACCATTCCCGATCGTTACCCGTTGCCTCACATTCACGATTTGACAGCTACCTTGAAAGGTAAAACTGTCTTTTCAAAAATCGACTTGGTTAAAGCGTATAACCAAATCCGTATGGCCACAGACGACATACCGAAAACCGCCATCATTACTCCCTTCGGACTCTATGAATTTTTGCGAATGCCTTTCGGTCTAAGAAACGCTGCTCAAAAATTCCAAAGATTCATAGACGACGTTTTTCGAGGTTTCAACTTCGTACATGCGTATATTGACGAATGCGTGATCGCAAGTTCGGACAGAGAATCACACCTCAAGCATCTGGATCTTGTTTTCGAACGATTACAAAAACATGGCATTACTGTAAACGTTCAGAAATGCCAAATCGGAACCGACTCATTAAACTTCCTGGGACACACTATAGATGCTCAAGGCATTCGACCTCTTAGGACCAAAGTGCCGGCAATTATGGATTACCCGGAACCGACTACGATCAAGCAACTACGAACGGTTAACGGCCTTGTAAGTTTCTATAGACGATTCATACGTAAATGCGCTTTACTCATGAAACCGCTAACCGACCAACTTCGTGGAAATGCGAAATCGATTAGTTTAGACGACACCGCACGGAAAGCATTCTCCACAATTAGGGAACTTATTACGAAAGAAACAGTGCTTGCACATCAGGACACTCGAACACCCATTAGCATCGCAGTAGACGCATCCGACTCGGCAATCGGAGGAGTCTTACAACAATTGGTTAACCACTCCTGGCAACCTTTGGCATTTTTCTCTAGAAGGTTGCTAGACACCGAATCGAGGTACAGCACATTCGGTAGGTAACTTCTAGCTATGTATTGTGCTGTACGGCATTTTCGACATTATATCGAAGGTCGTGAATTCACTCTTTTCACTGACCATAAACCACTCACCTTCTCTCTAAGCTCTCCTTCAGACAAGTACTCTCCCCGTGAGTCTCAACAACTGGACTACATTTCGCAGTTTACTTCAGATATTCAACACATCTCTGGAGCAAACAATGTAGTCTCAGACGCCTTGTCTCGCATAACTTCCTTGAACAGTTTCCAAGGAATCGACCTTCTTAAACTCGTCCAGCTTCAAAAAGAAGACAGTGATCTTCAGCACGAGTTATCGTCCAAAACACTTAAACTACGTATCAAACAGATGGGAACAGGTAAGGAAACCTTACTTTGTGACACATCTACAGGTAGGGATCGCTCAATCGTGCCGAAACGTTATCGATGCAACGTCTTCAATACGTTGCACAAACTTCCTCATCCAGGTGTCCGTGCAACCATCAAGCTTATAGCGAAACGGTTTTGCTGGCCTGGTATGAATAAAGACGTGAGGGATTGGGCACGCTCCTGTGTAAGCTGCCAAAAATCGAAGGTTAGCAGGCAATAAATGTCACCTAGGCTCCTTTAAAACTCCCGATGCTCGTTTTGACCATGTTCATCTGGATTTGGTAGGACCTTTACCAGATTCAAATGGATACTCTTATCTCCTAACCTGCATAAACCGTTTCACTCGATGGCCAGAAGCAGTACCTATCAAGTACATCACTGCTTAAACAGTGGCCCTCATCTTCGTCGAACGATGGGTAGCGAACTTTGGATGCCCTTCAACCATCACTACAGACCGCGGACGTCAGTTTGAATCCGATCTTTTCCGTCGTCTGACCACACTTTTAGGAATCACTCACTTCCGAACGACCGCCTACCATCCACAAGCAAACGGGTTGGTAGAACGTTTTCACCGACAACTGAAAGCTTCGCTATCAGCTGCAAACGTTTCACAATGGACCGACGCTCTTCCACTCGTCTTACTAGGTATTCGCAATGCAGTGAAAGCTGACATTGGATACACTGCGGCTCAACTCGTTCATGGAACGACACTTCGACATACAGGAGAATTCGTGGATCCTTCATCCTCTTCAATGAACATGCATCTAACCTCCTAAATGAACAGGCTTACAAACACAATGCTTTCAGTTAAACCTGCTTTCACTCGACCACAATCAACCGATGTTTTCGTTCAACCTGACTTACGATATGGTACACACGTTTTCGTTCGTCGAGACTCACATCGAAGACCATTCGAATCAGCATACAAAGGACCCTTCAAAGTTCTTCAACGTGAATCTAAGTACTATATAGTCGATAAGAACGGAACTAAAGATAGCATCAGCATCGATCGCCTCAAAGCAGCGTATTTAGAAGGAAATCCTATTCACGTCGACTTTCATTCGCTACAACTGCACAACATGACTCCTACACTCATAATTCCTCAACCGACAACCAACACTAGCAATGACAATCCAAATGTATCTGAAGATCAACTTGAAACGACGCGTCTCGGAGGAAGAGTAAGATTTAGAGAACATTTAAACGACTACTGCACGTAAGGCACTACTCGACATTTAATATTATCTCGATCTTTCTTTTTACGATTTAAAATATTAAAAAAACAATCTAAATATGCCAACATATTTATATATTATTTAAAAAAAACATATTATAAATTTTTTTAACGCTATTACATGTGCTTGAGTTTATTCTTCATTTTTTTCGCCGACATTGAGTTTTTACGCACATACGAGTGTATTTCGACATGGCCCTACATTTTCTT